GATGGCTTGTGTGGAGCGCGGACCAAAGCGATCGGGAACGAGGCCAAGCTCGCCTTTGATTTGACTCCATCAACTTATCTTTAGTAGTGAGTAATGAGTCGAGATAGTAGGCAAGGTGAGCGCCCTATGGGTGTCAATACGTAATCTTACACTGCAAAAAGGATGCTCGGATGGATGGGAAAATGGAACAATTCGCTGCAAGGCGGTTACGATAGGTCACAGGTACCTTTGTGCCTCATCGAGGAACCGAGGGGCCAGGTTCCCAATCCCCGTTTCACTGACCAGGATGCCCATTACAGTTAGGGCGCCATCGAGAAAGCCGCTTGGCTAACGACGCATACTGACGTCATCGTGTCCTCAATTAGCGTGGCAGAGACAAGCTTCAGGGGTCTGAAAGGTCATGCGTTGTCGAAAAAAATGGATCTGCCCGTGGAGAGAGCGCAAGTCGTGAGCTGCGCAAGAGTTGACTCCTCCTCAAACCGTACTTTGGAATTCACAAGTCACGATACTGTCTCCTGTGGGGTGTCGTATACAGAGTAGTTAACAAGGTTCTTGACTTTGGCTCTCCCTTGTATCCGGAGCAGCGTCCGTTAGCTCGGTGAATTGTCTGTTGCTGTAAGACGCTGTCCTGTTCGCTCTGTAGGAACGACATGAGGGGCTCAACCTGGATTCGGGGTAGAGAGGGGTGTTAATTGTAGTGGAGGATACTCATCCATCGCTTTCCGTTGTCTCTCGCTTGACGTGCTGAGTGAGTGTGCATCCCGAGCTGGAGTTGTCGAGGTTGTCGCACTACCTATCTCGTCACCGAGCCTCGGGCCTTCGGTCTATCGAAATGATGAGGAGGAGCAAGGCAGGCCGGGTGATTATTTGTGCTTTTGCTGCTACCAGGGGAAGGACGACCAGCGAGTGAGTACTTGTATGGTTGTTGTTGCTTGAGGAAATAGAAGGGGGCAAATGAGAGCATTCGGCGCATAGTCAGACAAAAACAAACGTGCCTGGCAAATACGCGACCTAGCCGCGAATCAAACGTGGACGGAACGGAACCCCTGGTACGGCAGCATCGCCGGTCCCCTTCAGCCACCTCCGAAGTTATCGCATCTTTCACGCAGGTTAGCGAAAACCGGCGCAGTGGCGGGACACCCGCTCGGGCTGCAGAGCCAGAATGGAATGGCCACATTCTCTTCTGGAACTGGTGCCATTTAGCCAATCCGCTAACGATCATGCCCCCTTCGTAAGTCTGTCTATGGCATTCACCGATGGCCTGACAAGCTTGTTTTGCTCCATAGACCGCGCGTTAGTGAGGTTCAGGACGCAGATGTGAGTTAGTCAGTCATTCCATTGGGCTGCCCATGCGCTCCACGTTCGGCGTAAGTGAATAGGGTATCCGTAAAAGAGTCCTGTTTTCACTGATCAGCTCATCAACAAGTGAGCAAAAGATTGACCCCTTGAGCACCGAACTGCCGGTAAAGCTGAAAAGGGACGGGAAATTTTTGCAAAGCGAGGCTGCTGCGTCAACGTGTCGTCGTTCCAACTCACCGTTTCCCAGGGCATATCCCAATCTCCTGCCACGGTGTGGTGGAGTTCATCAACAGGTCAAGCATATCAAACCCCACATCATCGATCAGACTCGTTGACTGAATGAAGCCTTAAATCGCGACCAAATAGCGTCGCCCAATAAGTAGGCAACCAAGCTCACCCTCATGCGGGGAGCAGGGCGGGAGCTTTGTCAGTTGACCGCCTACAAATCTATAGAAGGCCTAGCATACCTTGCCGTGCTAGCTTGTCGTGAGTTAAGCTACGTGAACGGAAACGGAAATGGAAGCTGGGGTCCGGCGTGGACGGGCGGCAAACCGTGTGGCGATTCAATCCTGACCACGTGAGTCGGAACAATGACGGCGGTCACCAGTACGCAGTCCAGATGAATTAATATCGCGCGCGGCCCGTCGTGTCGTACACGAAGTCGCGGACGGAGTGGGCGGGCGCTCCGTAATCGTGATATATCCGTCACTCGCTCGCGAGTCTCGCGACACTGCACAAGAGTACACTTACAATGTACATGGCAAGCCGACTTTCTTTCCACGTCTGTTGTTGGACATGATCGCCTTGGGTGCCGTCTTAGTTTTGAACTTGCTGCAACGACGTTGTAATTGTGTTCGACCTTGCAGCATGCCGTTCTGAAATTCTTGTGGGCAACCGGGTGAGAATTGACCGCAGCTCAGTGTGTTGGGGGTTGCCCTGGCTTTGCTGGTTTGTTTGTGGTCAATACGGCGGGGATGCCATGAGCGTGATGGACGATCTAAGAGTTGTGCACCATGATTTTGAAGTTTTCGATGGCCGCGTGGTATCTCAAATCGGGCCGGATTGCTTGAGTAGTTCCGTCCGAATTATTGAGCTGGGGTGTTCCGTGTCCCGTGTCCCGTGTCGTGTCTAGGACATCCCGCCAACCTCCAACGTGTTACAACTCCGTGGACGCATACGCTGATGGTGAGAAGCGCAGAGTCATGAGCTTGTCTCTGCCTTGGAGGTTGAACGGAGGCACCATGGTCCGGGAGCGTTCGATATGTCAAAACAAGGCCGACTAGTCGTTGACTTCTGGCGGCTCATGTATGCGAGGCGAAGGCAAAGGCCCTGCTCAGGTATGGGAGTCCCGGCCAAGAGAGCGGCCGGTCTGGGTTCCGTTACGGGAGACGTGGAGTTTGCCATTGAAACGGCGGACAGAATCCGATGGAGCCTCCTCTACCTCTGGCTCCGAGTTTCCCAGAGCCGCGAGCCGCGAGCCGCCGAGTCGCTGCTAGGGGCAGTGCGATGCGGTGCGGCGTAGTCTGGGGTTGGAACCGCGGAGGAAAAGGGGGAGGAGACTGCCCTGTGTGTGTACCTTGCGTGCTCAGATACGAATTCGTTCCACGGCTGAGATGCTTTGCTCAAGTCGCCGGTGCGGAAAACAAGGGCCACCACCAATGCAGAAACGGACGAGTTGGAGACGGAAGACTTTGGAGAAGCAAGTATTAGGTAGTCGTGGATAGACGGGTATAACGAAGACGGAGAGGCAGGTTTGAGTGGATGCCGCGCGTGTGGAGCTTGGGGGCCAGCGGCAGCCACGCCCGTGTGATGTAATGGGGCACGTATCGGTACGGATACAGGACTCCCCACATCTAACCAGGGCACGTACATTACACTGCACAGGTACCTCCACTCTTGTAGAAGGTATCCGCGACTTGAATGTGCGTGCTCTGACTGCCACACCGGCTGCGACTGGCGTGCTGAGATACCACCTCACACTATTGTAGCCACTGCTACCTACCTTACTCAAGCGTGTCAACGTAGGGCGTTACGGCGTAGATGCCTCTGTATTTTGCGGCCCGGACAGCACGAGTCCAGCTGGAAGTAAAATTGCGGCGACGAGTTGAAGGGTTCCTTTCTTGTGCTGATAGCAGATGATGGTGATGGCAGGACAAGTAAGCTGGTGTAAGGCAGGTAAGGTAGGTAATGAGAATATTCCATAGAAGGCACCTCAAGTGCATAGGCACGACGAGTATCGGTACGTCGAGCAGGCAGGGATCCTAGGCCCACCAGGCCAGTTATCTTTCAAGGAAGCACCCATAGGTTGGCAGAACGGTCCAGCGTGTTTTCTTCTTGCTTCCCTTTGCCTTGGTGGCTGCCCGTAATTAGCTATTTACTGCCCAAGAACCTTGGGAAAGAGCTTGGTTTGATGAACCGGAAAGGAGACCATGGCCGGTGATTCCAATACCTGGCCAGCTATCTTACCTAAATTGGATTCAGTAAACTGCATGCTGCTTTGCTGCATTCTTGGCCGAGACATTGACAACGCTGAGCAGCGGTCGCCTCGAGCCGCCCTTCCCCCGTTGGGTTGCCCCCCACCTATAGCTGAAGCTGACTGATTTGCTGCCGCCGCCGCTGCCTCTCGCATGCCGTGCGGTTGGATTTTTGGCCATCCCGTACATTTTTCTCACTTAGGCCCCGGGGCTACCTACGTCATAAGGTAGGCCCCCCGGTGGACCGTCCACCCTTTCCTTTCTTGTTCTTTTTGTCCATTGTACCCTCTCGTTCCCACGCCCACCTGCTGCGTTTCTCGCTTCGCTTCGTTTCCTACAGTCTTCTGCCTGCCCCCCCGCCCCCTGTTGTCCGTCATCCGTCATCCGTCACCCTCATCCGTCACCCTCACCGTTCCTGTCAGGCCCGCCGTCGACGCAGACTTTTGAGAGACGAGAGACCGAGGAGACAGACCCATTCTGACAGAAACTGAGAAAGCCAGAGCAACCAAGATTGCACACGCCCCGCCACACACGACGACTGGCGTTACCGACTTGCTCCTGTCCCCATTGCCAGTCCAAAGACCTGCACTACTGGGTAGTCCTGGTCCCAGTCCCGTACGCTTCCAGTCCATACCTCTTTCAGTTCAGTCCAAACGCACATCCCATCCGTACCATCCCACACCAACCTTGCCTCACACTCACCACGAGCTACCAACACAATCCAAACCGTTACAATCCTCCTCCACCACCGCAGCGCGCGCTTCCACCCACGGCATTTTCCTTCGACTTCCAGATTGTCGCCTTCGTTCGCCTCACCGCAATCCTGCCCACCGAACTTTTTCACTGCAGTGTCCCCCACACCTTTACTCCAAAATACCGCGACCGAACCCCCTCGTTGACCATCCTTTCGACTTTGCCACGAGACGCTCATTCACCGTTACCGTTCGTCACAATCCGGCCGAACGCCTTCTTGGCGCGACATCACCACTTCCGACCAGGACCTTGGGACTTTTGTGTATGGGGCGTTCTATTCTATGAGGAATGCCAAGCACGAGCCTTCCAGCAGACAAGAAAGACTCGTCCTCTGCGCGTCGGCTTAGCCTTCCAAGACGAACCACGCCCGAATCGAAAAAGTCGCCCACCAGAGAATCGCCCGTCAACCTCCCGAGTCCCCGTTATGGACTGACCCTCGATTCTCTCAAATCGGGTAGAAATGCGCGAGTCGCAATGCCGGGTGCGTCCAAGGAGCAGACTTCCAAGTCTTCGACCGACCGCTCCCGGGCGCAAATCGAACCCTTCGTCACCAAGGCCGCGAGTCCTGGCGGTATTGGTCCGGATACTAACCTAAGGCGCAGCGTGGGTGTGTCTAGGGCTGATGATGACGTTGCTGGTGGCATGGGCGGCAAGGAAGCAAAAAGTAAGACTGAGAATGCTGTAGGGGCCGACGACGATACGCCACCGGCCCTCTCAGAATCTCAGATACAGCTGAATCGATACCGAGAGCGACTGGCACGAGACTTGGAGAAGCGCGAGATGGCGACAAGAGGCTTGATGGCGACGACCCCAGAGAAGATGCGCGTGTCGCCAATTCAGGAGGAAACTGGCAATTCGCCGCGCACACAGGCTGGAATCGCGGGCTTGGCAACGACATTGTCCAATTTAACAACAACGTCCACCGAATCCGGGAACACCATTCGCGGCGGGATTACGCCCGGTCATGTCGCAGGCACGCCCTCTTACCCCTTCCCGCGCATGTACACGCCGGGGTACGGTCCCGGCGCGATGAACCGACCATTCGGGAATATGTCACCAACTGCCGCCGCCTTCATGTCGCAGGGCATGTCGTTCGAGGGTTTTGGTGCCGCTCAGGACAGAGTTATGTCCGGTTCCTCGACACCCGCATCGGCCCTGACCTTTCTCCCCGCTGGAGTTACTGGCCAATTGGAGGGCGATTTTCCGAGTCCAAACCTCTACGACCTGTCGCTGATGCTCAATGCCGAGCCGGGAATGGACGCGTGGTGGAACACTGTCGTTCAGATCATGAGAGATGTGTACAAAGCCGAGAGGGTGACACTCTCTGTGCCAGCTGACTCTACGGATATCGAGAACGTGCCCTGGGGCCAAAAAGCAACGTACAACGAGCACCAGGAAGATGATCTCAGCCTCGGATACATGGCGAGGGGAAGCAGCTTGATACCAAGCAGCGCTGGCGATATTGGCTCAGAAGAATCTCCTTTACCTGAAGACCAGGCACGACCTAGGCTGCTGTCTCGGCCCAGTCTGCAGACGCGGCACTCGTTCACGACATACGAGGAGAACAGAGAACGAAAAGGGAACAGCACCGAAAGACTCTTGCCTTCACGCCGCCCCGCACAACTAGGCAGAAGCAAGAGCTACTTTCCGCCTGGCAAGGCGACAGAGGATAGTGCTCAAGAGCCACTAGGCCCGGCATTGAACCAGTCTGCTCTCGCTGAGCATGATGCCGAAGAGCAAAATGTTCCGAGTTGGGAGGCTCCAATCGGGGCTCACTCCGAAACCGAGGGCAGGGTGCTTCCTGTACTTCAAGCCCTAGATTACGAGGCCGATCCTCTTATCGACCACGGCGGCGTGATGCGTGTTCTTGAACGCGGCAAGGTTATCGCGCTGACAAGAAGCTACCCCTACCTTCAGAATTTGCCAGAGGAGGCGCCAACCAAGTCAAAAGTGACTGCCAATACAACTTCGGCTGAGGCAGCAAGGAAAAAGCTGAAAAGGGGCAAGATCGAATCCGGCCAGAAGCTATCAACGATCTTTGGTGGTTCAAATTCCTCCTGGAGTTCTAGCCGTAGTCACAGCGGTGACAAGCCATCTAGCATAATTTCGCGACTTTCTGAGGACGATCCACGCCCACCCACGCCAAAGTACGAAGAGTTCGAGCAGGCACCACCATCTCCCTGGTCTCAGTCTCCGGCGCCTTCTCCCGCCGTGCGGGCAGATCCGAATGAAAATCCTTTCTTCACTGATGCCATGGTCGACGAGGACTCTTTCAACCCTGAGTCTGCACCTGCAGACTACACAGGAATGCAACCACCTGAAGCTATTGGCGTGGACAACGCGTGGACCGTCCTTCACATTCCGTTGACGCACCTGCTGCTCTCGAAACCTGTCCATCCTTTCAAGCTTGACACCACTGTACTGGAGCAAAAGTCTCACTCTCGCAACCGTAGCGAGTCTCAGGACCCTTCTGGCGGCGGTGAAGATGACGACGCCGTCTCTTCCTCGTGGCAGCGGAAAGATAAGCCTGCGCCCATCGCTATCCTGTCGATTCTCAGTCCCGTCATCCCGTATCCCTCAAACCTACGCCATTCGTTGGAGTATCTTGCCCCGCACCTAGCAACCTCCTTTTCTCTATGTCGTCATTACACGAATTTGGAGACAGAGCTTGCTGGCCTCAACCGGCGTAGGCCTCAGACTGCTGGGTTTGGCGCGCTTGCTGCCGACGGCCGCCCCCTGGCCGACCCTACCAGCATCGGCAATCTAAGCTTCATGGCTTCGGACGACATGGCTGCCCAACGTTCGCTGGCGGGCAGTATTACCAGTCCCAGCGATTATTCCGGCGTTTCCAAGAGTGCTGCTGGCTCCCCGCTCGGCACTCCTGGTTCAATACACCATGCCATTGATAAGAGTGGATTTGCAACCAGCCCTGCGCAAGTTGGGGGAGACAGCTACTTCGGCACCAAGCAGAAGTCGGGCAACCCGAGGATTGAGACATCATCTGCGAGCTCCCAGAGGGCGAGGAGGAGTTCAAAGGAGGATTCGCCGATGGACAAGCGCCAAGCTCGACTCTCCGCATCGTACAAGCTACTTAATAAGGAGCCTGCGCAGACGCCCGGGGAGAGCGAAGACTTGGTCGAGCTCAATGTCGAAAGCCGAGTATCGACACCGGGAGGTTCCAGGAGAGTGCTCTCCCACGAACTCAAAAATTACCTGGAGGAAATCGCGGTGCTCGAACCTCGACTCAAATCAACTGACCAGAAGAGCTCGGAACAGGGCCACCACACCCTGCTGCATTCCTACGGTGCCGACTTTGCGACGAGCTTCCAGTCGCTACCACCCAGCTCGAGCGTGGTCAGCAGGCCGGTGCCCCATACCGCACCGACCCGAACCGGCTCGATTACTGTCGGTCCAGTGGACATGCCACCGCCATCAGACCGTCTCAAGGGCCTCATCCTAGACTCTCTACCTGCTCATGTCTTTGTCTCGCTTCCGCAGTCGGGTGAAATAGTCTGGGTGAATAGTCGGTACCTAACGTATCGCGGACAAACGGTCTCCGACTTAGCTGCCGACCCTTGGGGCAGCATCCACCCGGACGACAGAGACGAATATCTCAAGGCATGGAGTCATTCCCTGCGAACTGGCGAGCAATTCTCGAGAACTGTTCGCATCAGACGCTTCGATGGGGCCTACCGATGGTTCTATGCCCGTGCCGTTGCGTCTCGCGATAAACGAGGGGTTATGATGCAGTTCCTCGGCTCTTACATGGATATCCATGACCAACATATTGCGGAACTCAAGGCTGCACGGCAAGAGGAAATTGAGGCCTCGGAGGCAAAGCACAGGCTCTTAGCCAACCTCATCCCTCAAATCATATTCACTGCAACTGAAGACGAAGGTATCACGTTTGCCAATGAGCAGTGGCTTTCGTACACAGGGCAGAGCTTCGAAGACTGCCTCGGGCTGGGTTTCATGGACTTCGTGCATCCTGAGGATCTGGCTAAATGTCAAATACCCACAGACCGACCACCAACACCGATGCCGTCCAAATTCGACCGTACAGGACATCAGGAGCCAGTGCCGTCTGAGGCGACGTTGGCCAGCCTCATATCGGGCAAAACGCAAATCCAGCTGGAAACAAACCTTCGAGGCATCCACCAAGCACTGTCGCGGAATAACAGCTCGAGTAGTAGCTCAGTCTACGAAATGCCCACCGCTGATCTCACGGCTTTGGCTAGGCAGGGCGTCATCAAAGTGACAACCGACAGCAACGGCAGACTATCATACACTACGGAGGTGCGGTTGCGTTCCAAGAACGGAGAGTACAGGTGGCACCTAATTCGTTGCGTCGAGATCGACACTATTGACTTTGGAAACGGGGCCAGCTCCTACTTTGGCTCGGCAACGGACATCAACGACCACAAGCTGCTTGAAGCCAAACTCAAGGAGGCTATGGAGTCTAAGAGTAGATTCCTGAGCAACATGTCGCACGAGATTCGGACGCCACTCATCGGCATTTCGGGAATGGTCAGCTTCCTACAAGACACAATTCTCAATGAAGAGCAGCGCGACTATACCAACACCATCCAGACGAGTGCCAACAGCCTCTTGATGATTATCAACGACATCCTAGATTTGTCAAAGGTCGACGCCGGAATGATGAAGCTCAAGTATGAATGGTTCCACACGCGCTCCCTCATTGAAGATGTCAATGAATTGGTATCCACCATGGCTATTGCAAAGAGACTTGAGCTTAATTACATTGTAGAGGAGGATGTCCCGGCCTGGGTCAAGGGCGACAAGGTCCGCATTCGCCAAGTCCTCCTAAACGTCATTGGCAATGCCATCAAGTTCACTGCCGAGGGCGAGGTGTTTAGCCGGTGCAGGGTCTATGCCACCAAAGATTCGGCTCAGGACCAGAAAGAGATCATGCTCGAATTCGCCATCATCGACACAGGGCGTGGTTTCTCACAGGAGGAGGCAGACCTCATCTTCAAGCCGTTCAGTCAAATAGATGGGAGCAGTACCAGACAGCATGGTGGAAGTGGTCTGGGGCTGGTTATTTCAAGACAGTTGGTGGAGCTTCACGGAGGCAAGATGGAAGGTAGCGCTGTCCCTGGCAAAGGCTCAACTTTCACCTTCACTGCCAGGTTTGCTTTACCGACAAAGGAGGATCATCCCGACGCGCCCCTGAGCCCAGAGAGCTTGCATCCCATCTCCAGGGTCACCCCAGACCTGACCATCGTTCGTCGTTCAAAGAACGTGCCTTCACCCACGGTTGCATCGACAGACAGCCCCAAGACCGATACCGAGTTCACGTCGCCCGCTGTTGCTTCTAGTGGAAGTTCAGCCCCGTCAATCCAGTCCAGCGTTTCTCGGGCTACAGAACTTACGTCCGTGTCTTCAATCAATGTTGGGCTTGTCCACTTCAGCGAAGCTGCAAGAGCAAGCGGTCAAGACCTGTCGCAGATGAAGCTCGAGCTGCCCTCCAGCGAATCCTCACCGGACAAGACACCCACACCGGAGACCTCCAAATTTACCAAGCCCGAAGACTTGAAGCCTCCCATGTACTCCATCCTCATCATCTGCCCCCAGACCCATAGCCGTGAGGCTACTACGCAACACATTGAGATGACGTTGCCAAAGGACGTACCCCATCAAATAACCGCACTAGACTCTACTGAAAAGGCACAAAAGTTGCTTGGGGGAGACGAGTCTGTCAATTTCACCCATATTGTCCTCAACTTGCCGTCCCCAGAGGAGATTATCGGCCTCATGGAGCAGATCACCAAGACGACAACAATCAGCAACACAACAATCCTCATTCTGTCAGACTCAGTCCAACGGCAAGCAGTGATAAGGCTCGCGACAGATACCAAGTATGAGAAGCTTGTGTCGGAAAATGCTGTCACCTTCATCTACAAACCTGTCAAGCCGTCGAGGTTTGCTGTCATTTTCGATCCTGACAAGGTTCGCGATTTGAGCGTCGACCGGAACCGCTCAACCGCGCAAAGGATGGTTGAAACCCAGAAGGCGAGTTACCAGGAGATTGGGAAACGTATGGGCAACAAGGGGTATAAGGTGCTCCTGGTTGAAGACAACCCTGTAAACCAAAAGGTTTTACAAAAGTACTTGAAGAAGGTCGGCGTGGAGGTCGAAGTGGCGGCCGACGGCGCCGAGTGCACCGAAATGGTGTTTGGCCACGTCCATAACTACTACTCCTTGATACTTGTAGGTTCTCATCATTCCGCAAGGAGATCCACCAGCTAATACGCTTCCCAGTGCGACTTGCATATGCCACGCAAGGATGGCTACCAGGCCTGCCGAGAGATTCGACAATGGGAGAAAGAACAGGGCTTTAAGAAGTTGCCCATCATTGCGCTTTCGGCCAACGTCATGTCCGACGTCCAGGACAAGTGCGTCGCCGCCGGTTTCAGCGACTACGTCACCAAGCCTGTCGATTTCATCGATCTCAGCAGAGCCATGTCCAGGTTCTTTTGAAGTCTAGAGAAGGGCGCAAAACCAGAATAATAATAACGAGAGGCGGGACTATTATGCCATGCCCCATACACTTTTGTTTGCCTGCTGTATTCGCACAGGTACTCGCACTACAATTTACATTCAAACACAAAATGGGGCTATTACTAGCAGGGCATGATATTTGGGGGGTGGGAACAGGCGTTTAGGGGTTTACGAAAGATCTGGTTCATCATGATTAATTATGGTCCTTTCTGCTCATCGTGTACAACTGCTTCGAGGCGGATACCATCATAGAGACGTACCTCTAGAGGAGGGTCTTTTGCGGGGGGAATACTTCAGGATTATACATTAGCTTTTATTCTTCTCATGGATTCATGTTAGGGATGACACTCGTCGCCGTAGCTTGGCGATGCATGTAAATGGCGTCCAAAGTCTGGGCCAATACTGGGCTTGAGAAGAGGGATGGGCAAGCTCGTCGTGACGGGGTTACTACCATTTTATTGGGTACGGGATGGGTGTTCGGAGGTCAGCCGGGGCGTAAGGAAGCAACTCGACGAATACTTGCCGTGTGTTTGGGGGGTTTGTGGAGAGAAAAACGTGGTAATTGTGATCGAGACACGACGATATCCCAACACAACAAATGAACCTATAGTTGCGTACGTAGTTGCTTCGCTTCTGCTTGTGTACGAGGGAAGAGATTGAGCAACCGTCGGACTCGTCCAGAGAAAGACTGAACTAGACATACACATTCGCCATCTTGTTGAAGCTGGCTGGCTCATTACTCAAGGTTGGGACCATTTTGTTCCCGCTTCGTAAAGATGATATCATTCTAGCCACCTTCCTGTAATCTCCTCCTCTCTTTCCCGGAATATGGTAACACACAGGATTCACCTGCTCTATCGGGGCTAGGCAAATTACAAGGTACCGAAAAAAGCGTCGTGGGAGTTTTGGCTCTGTGTTGAGCCGACTCGACTCTGCCGGTTCCACTTCTAGGCGTCTTTGTTTGATCTATAGCCCAATCGAGGCCAGATGAGGCCTTGCCCGCTTGAAGTTGACACAGGATATTGCTGAAGATCCAGTCTTCTACCACACCGCAAAGGTCTTTCGTTCCTCTCAAACCGACCTTGTCATTCCTTTGCCTCGGAGCCTGGGCGTCTACAAGACTCCCATTAATTCTTTTCCCTTCTTCGATGAAGGGCCCAGTCGTTTGTCTCGCACCTACTTGCCTCTCTGCTGGTTCCGGACGCCTACTTCAACATCGGTGTAAGGCGGCCGTGAATGGCTTCCTTTCGTTTCTTCAAGGTACAACCTTTCTCGCCTGCGATTACTTTATTAGAGTCGAATATTCCTCCTTCGTCTCTAGAATTCCGGTTCTACGCACCATAGACAACTTGCTTCCAACCTTTCCACTGGCTAATATTACCCGGTGATACGTGGCGGCCGTCTTCGAGCCCGCCTTTCCGCAAAGTCTTCTAGCCTCCCGACAATAACGACTGCCGCAGCCCACTCGATAGGAGATACCGAATACAAGCGATAAGGCCGCTCTATTCATTGCTCTGAGCTTCGTACAGCAATCATCCTCGAGACATCTCCAGACGCTTCACTTAGTTCACCACCAACACGACATCTTCTTCGACCAGCAAAGGACGCGGCAACTGACAGAATGGCATTTCCATGGGCTCAAAGTTGCAAGAGACAGGCGAGCGAGGTTCTGGACAGTGCGCCCAAGAGAACACGGGTCGACCACCATGTCCATTGGGGTGTGGCCGCACCCACGGCGGGACCTGAGTTAATTGCGAACGCGGACCAACAACAGCGAGAACCTCAGGCCCACAAGGTGAGGCACAGAAGGAGCATGGCGGTCGCGAATCCAGGTATGATATAAAGGGTTGTGGCCGACCTATGGCTTCACGTTGCTGTGCCTAAAATATCCTTGCCTGATCTGTTGCAGAACTAGGCTCAGGAATTCGACCACCGCGACCAACTCGACTTGGCCATTTCTTAGAAGTCTCCCGCCACAGTCAGTATGATGAATAAGTCAAACATTTGCTTTAGTTAACCATAGCGGTAGGAACGGTGGCGCTTTGCCGGAATCCAACAGATATCCAAGCCGAGACCGATGCCGGCTACAAACTTGCGAAAATGGCCGAGTTCAAGCCTGGCATGAGCGTTCAGGAAAAGCTGTCATTAGGATTTCGTACTGGATTGCAAAAAAGAGACGAGCACCAGACCAGGATTCAACAAGAACCAGAGCGTTCGCTGACTGGATCCCGCAACGAGATAATGGCTTTAGGTGGCATCGATCTAACCGATCATGCCCTCGGGTTGCCAATCTCTCTGCGACAGGGTGCCGTCGCCTTCGACGCGGAAACTAAGAAAAGGTGCTTAGGTATCACATCCACGGAAACTACGTTGACAAAAAATAGCCCGGAGATCAAACTAGCCCAAGAGAGGAATATGCTTAGAGATCACTACAGAGCTAGATCGCTCTTTGCGTAGGTCCTCTTCTAATTGGCAGAGAACCTTTGACTCATCAGTGCAAAGTATAGGGGCCTGCCGCAGGCTGACGACGGTGATGCGACCCTATATCAGGACTATTCATACGATTCCGGGTCTTAATGCTCGGCGGCGGGCTGGTCAGATCATGAATGTCGAGTGGCAACACAACTACCACGGCATGTCAATGAACATGAGCTTCAGCGCTTTACAAGCCAGATCAATGGAATTGAACGGATACCGGAGGCGCACGATACAGTGCATACACTTCCAGAGGGAGGAAGTCATGACACAAAAGCCGTTTCCGGGGCCGCCCCTGGGTGCTGACACGGCGGAGGCCTACGGAGCCAGTTCCAGCACGGAAATGTTTTTCGGGCATGATCAGGATCACAGACTTTCGTTGGTCGATTTGTATATGTGAGTCATTTGCACTTGCTCGAGGCAGATCCAGGCTGACATTTGCTCCAAGCACCGACATCAACGGAGTGAGACGCAGATGGGTATGCATCGAGATAGCCAAGCCCCTAGTCCAGGTCAAAGGCCCAGTCCCTATGGAACTGACGCCGATGCCGCAATCATACGTCAAGATTGCTGCGCCTGGTGACAAGATCCTGATATTGAAGGACACGAGCCAGCCACTGCCTATCGAGGAAGAGCAACGGGACAAAAATGAGCCTCCACAGCTCGGCGACTTTGAAAAGCTCTCGATATGTGGGCCCATAGATGGTCGAGAGGACGTCAAGATGAGGCTGAGGATGTGCAGAGACGGTATGCCGATTTTTGCAACCGGGTCCAAAAAAGGTCACATCCCAGGATCCAGCCGTGTTGAGGACTTTCTCTCTGCGTCAGAAGTAACTGGCCTCCCTTGGAAAGAAACAGACAGACGGGTCCACCAAAATACAGTCTTGAAGAGAAAGAATGAGTTCTGGGACCGCTTACGCTCAGCGGCAGAGATCGACAAGCAGCGATGGGCTTCACTCCAGGACGCCATAGCCAGAAATGACTGCGTCGTAGACATCACGTTCCAGGGTGAATGGCAAGAGTTTGCCCCAGTCATCCAGGCGTCTCAGTCCATGTGGACACCAGCTTTACCGCCGCTACAACCTGGGACGCCACGCTTACCACACACGATTCAGCTGCCTGGTCTCAACAAAGTGCCACGCAACAGATACGAAGGCAAAGTGGTTGGTCCTCGAAGTTCTGGGCTCCGCAACGAAGTCCATTGGTAGAGCCTACACCCGTAGTGGCGATTGGGAATGGTGTGGAGAATCGCCGAATTAGAAGCGAATATTGCAGAAAGTTGAGCAATGGCGTCGTACTGCTTTACACTATTCGGGGACGAATACATCCAATATTCGGGGTCTGGCCTCCTGGGCTGGCCCGCGCTTCTCTAGAGACAGCACACTCACCGCGGCTCTACAGTGGTCTTGGGGATGTTTGATAGCGATAGCTCCATAGGAAAATATACCATAATCTTGAGCATCAGCGATGAAGTGCACCCTCGTGGTCTTCCTTCGCCGATGGAGTAGTTCAAAAGTGAATGGGACGTTGCCATAAGTGGGTCTGTCGGTATCCTGTGCCAGAAGCCAGGTGAAGCTCGGTGAAGCCGGGAAATAGGTTCCGCCGCGCTCCAGCTTCATCCCGCCGAAAAACAAACCCGCCCAGCGAACTTTTTAGAAGCCCGGTGCCTTGAGTAGCAGCAGCACCACCACCCCCGCCATCTCCACGGTTTCCTTTGCAACGGTGAAGCTCTTCGCCGAAACACCCCCCTTGACGATATCAGGTTTTTTTTTTTCAAATTTTTGAAATCGTCGTCGCACAACCATGCAGGCTCCAGTAGTGGTAATGAGTACGGCAGCCCCTCCTTCCCCAGAGCTCTGACTAGCTACCCCCTACAATATCACGACCAGGTACTAACTGCGCATTCTCCAGACACCGGCGCCGGTGAAAGGCAGACGGGTCGCAAGGCCCAGATGTCCAACATCGCGGCTGCCAAGACGTACGATTCCCTTTCGATTTCCTATAGACACTCGCTAATCCCACCATCAGCGTCGCCGACATTATTCGATCATGCTTGGGACCCAAGGCCATGTTGAAGATGCTTCTGGACCCCATGGGAGGTATCGTCCTTACCAACGATGGCCACGCCATCCTCAGAGAGATCGAGGTCTCGCACCCCGCAGCAAAGAGCATGATTGAGCTCAGCCGGACACAAGACGAAGAGGTTGGCGATGGCACAACGACTGTCATTATTCTGGGTAAGCCCCTGAAGCTATCCTGCTTATAAAGCCAGAAACTGACCCGGCGCAGCTGGCGAGATGCTTGCGCAGTCCCTTCCCCAGCTCGAGCGTAACATCCACCCCGTCCAGATCATCGCCGCCTTCCGCCGGGCGCTGAAGGACGCCCTCGAGATCGTCGACGACATCTCCCTCCCCATCGACGTTAACGACGACAAGGCCATGCGCGGCCTCATCTCCTCCTCTATAGGCACCAAGTTTGTCTCGAGATGGTCCGACCTGATGTGCGACCTGGCCCTCCGCGCTGTCCGCACCGTCACCTGGGAGGCCGGTAACGGAAAGACCGAGGTTGACATCAAGCGATACGCACGTGTGGAGAAGGTGCCGGGCGGTGAGATCGAGGACAGCAGAGTGCTGGACGGCGTCATGCTCAACAAGGACATCACCCACCCCAAAATGCGCCGGAGAATAGAAAACCCCAGAATCGTCCTCCTCGACTGCCCCCTGGAGTACAAGAAGGGCGAGTCGCAAACCAACATTGAGATTTCCAAGGAGGAGGACTGGAACCGCATCCTGCAGATCGAAGAGGAGCAGGTCAAGGCCATGTGCGAGAGCATCCTTGCCCTCAAGCCCGACTTGGTCATCACCGAGAAGGGCGTCTCAGGTGAGTTGAGATCGACCACGTGCTGGGGAATAGGGCTAACATTCAATAGATCTCGCTCAGCACTACTTTATGAAGGCTAACGTTACCGCTCTCCGCCGTGTGCGCAAGACGGACAACAACAGAATAGCAAGAGCGACGGGCGCCACCATTGTCAACCGCGTCGACGACATCCAAGACTCCGACGTCGGCACGCTCTGCGGCCTGTTCGAGATTGAAAAGATTGGCGACGAGTACTTCACCTTCCTCACCGGATGCAAGAACCCCAAGGCCTGCACAGTGCTCCTCCGCGGCCCGTCGAAGGACGTGCTTAACGAGATTGAGCGTAATCTGCAGGATGCCATGGGCGTTGCCCGCAATGTCATGTTCAACCCCAGACTTTCCCCTGGTGGTGGTGCGACGGAGATGGCCGTCTCGGTGCGGTTGAGTCAGCTCGCAAAGGGTGTCGAGGGCGTCCAGCAATGGCCGTACAAGGCCGTCGCCGACGCGCTCGAGGTCATCCCCCGCACGCTGGTTCAGAACGCCGGTGCCAGCCCGGTCAGAGTACTGACCGACCTGCGCGCCAAGCACGCAGAGGGCAAGCACTCGTGGGGTATCAACGGAGACTCTGGCGTGGTCGCCGACATGAAGGAGTACGGTGTGTGGGAGCCGGAGGCTATTAAGCTGCAGAGCATCAAGACGGCGATTGAGGTATGTCTAAACATCGATTTTACGACTTTTCATCTTCCCCCCCTTTTTTGGTTTTACAGTACTTTCCACAATACTTATACATGACTCACAGTCCGCTTGCTTGCTCCTCAGAGTAGACGACATTTGCAGCGCAAGGAAGGCGGCGCAAATGGGCAACGGCCTGCACGGTGGCGGCGACGAATGAGATGCCTGTTGAAGTTAGTCGGCTTGGTATTTTCTTCAGGACGGAGAGAAAGTTGTTGATGTGTCGCGCGATGAGAAGTGATTATGAAGAAGAAAAAAAAGGTCATACCCTGTATGGATGATGCATAGACATGGGAGTAGAATTTACCTAGACGACTGAAGTTCTCGGGACATTTCCAAAGTAGCTCCAAAGGAGCTCCAAAGGAAGAAGAAAAAAAGCTTTGATGCTCATGCTCATGCTCATGCTCTGGGGGTGCCCCCCCTTGCCTAGGTTGTTGGTGGCGTCTCCTGTCTGTCATTCCAATTTTTTTTTTTTTGGACGGGACCCGACCCACCGGACTTTTGGTGTTTGGTCTGAAGTTATTTTTGGGTGACGCCAAGCTTACGTTCAAGCTTGAAATCCTCGAAACAACTGTCAACCCCCTCAACCACGGATGAATCAGTCGTCGTCGTGGATTACAATACCGTGGGGCTGAGCAGCTCCTGACGAGGATGTCGTCGCCGTGTCTGCGCCCTTGCTCCTCCCGTCCCTGTCCTCCTTGGCATCGTCATGCTCCTTGTTTGTAGATGTTTCCGCCGCAGTCCTTGCATCACCTCCGCTCGAGGAAGCTGTGGTAGGTCCTTTTGCCACAGCAGCAGCACCACCACCACCACCGGGGCCCTTTTTGCCCTTTTGCTTCTTCTTATCCCTCTTCTCGCGGTTCTTCCTCGTGCGCTCCTCATCCTTGGCAGCGCGCTCGGCCTTTTGGCGCTCAAACTCGTCATTTTCCTTTTCCTGCCTCACCTCCTCGTCCATGGCGCGCAGTCGGTCGTACTCGCGGCGTCGACTGGCCTTGTAGACGTGGAACTCGCCGGAGCCGGCGCCGGCGGAGGAACCCTGGACATTCGTGACGATTTCGGGGGGCGCGGCGACGGCGCGTTTGGCGACGGCGCCGGGGGCGGGTGGGAGGCGGATTTCTTGGTCGGGTTTGGAGAAGAGGGTTTCGAGGTGTTTTGCGTGTTCGGACACGGGGGTGAGGGCGCGTTTCTTGGTCGGGCGGCGGGAGCGGGGGTCCGCTGAGGTGGGGATTGATTCGGGGCCTTCGCCGGACATGCTTGCTGCTGCTGCTGTTCCGGGAATGGAGCCGTCGGTCGGTCTGCGGGTTCGGCGTGGGCGGTTGCGTTGTGAACTTGAGATTTGGGAAAGGGGGGGGGGGGGGGGGGGGGGGGGGGGTGGGGCGGGGGGGGGGGGGGGGGGGGGGGGGGGGGGGGTGGGGGGGGGGGGGGGGGGGGGGGGGGGTGTGGGGGGGGGGGGGGGGGGGGGGGGGGGGGGGGGGGGGGGGGGGTTCGGTCGTATGATTGTGGGATGAGGCTGGGATGTGGAATGGGCTGATCCGGGGCAAGGAACGCGGTAGGCCCGGCTACGAGTTTGTGCTATGGTATCCGATGCGGACTGGCGGGCGGGCGGTCGGGCGAGCGCATGTGATAGTGGCCGTCTGCGTGCGTGGTTGTATGCGTCTTCCCGGTATAGGTAACGTGTGATTGTTGGTGACTGTTGGTGACTGTTGGTGATTGTTGGTGATTGTTGGTGACTGATGTCTGATGCGAGTTTCCCTAGAGATCGCGAGATAGAGGCGCGCGCGGCGTAATCAAGAAGGAAAAGATTGGCGTTCGAGGTCGGTTGTGGGCGGCTACCTAGGAGAGGGCCGGGGGTGGGAGTGGCGGCGGCGGCGGCAGCTGGTGTTCGACCTGCCCGTTGGTAAACCGTAAGGTAAGGTACGTTTGCGGCGAGGCGTGGTTCCTGTGGTGTGGTGCCTGTTGGAAAGGCTGAGGAAAACGGAGAGGAATGATTGGGACGACGTGCGACGCAGGTGTGGATTAGGTGGGGAACATGAATCGAATGACAACGCTGGGAATGGGCGGTTCTGGCCAACGCGTCTATCGGAGCATGCAGATGAACCACGCCAGATGGGATGCGGATTGACACGAGCGGCGCAGGCGCACTTTTGGAGTGATGGGGTTGCACCGCGGTTGGTTGTCAGGCGGCAAGACAGGTTGGAGATGGAGGTGATGAGTGAATCACAGTCACAGGAAGAGAAATTGGTTGAGAAGACTGCAGCCACGTCCAACAGAATGTCTGCAGTTGTCATCCGTCTGTTGGTTTACTTGCAGTTTGCGTAGCATTTTTGCTTCACTCTGGATGCGGGCATCTTCTGCAGGTAAGACAGCTCTGGCCAGTGCCGGCAGACCCTGTTCCCCTCCTCTTCACAATCAATCCACAGTTGTCCGTTGGTAATAAAAATTGAAGAGGGAAGGAAAGGGAGTGGGGAAAAAAAAAAGACTTACCCACTGCGTGCAAGTGCCGCCGTGCCGCCGCAAGGTGGGGTACACAGCCTCGCCGCTTGTCGGAGGGTCGGTGCGCCAATCAGGGACCGCGGATTCCCTGTCTTAAGGTGCTAGCTTGAGCCCTGCTTCTGACGTCTGGTTGGCTGACAGGGCGTTCAGATCTTCCGATGTGCCCCGCTGGAGAGCGACAGATGGCCAGGGGCCGTGGCCCGTTGGAACAATGGAACTCGGAGGGGGGGGGGGCGGCTCTGTCCTGCGATGCCTGCCTGGTCCCCCCGCGGAACAAAGAGCCTGAAGTGCCCTGCAGTCGGTTCGGTTGTCTTCTGAGTGTGGATGGGTCATGTTTGACTGTCATTCATTTGGGTAGGATGAGGGGTCGTTTTCTCTGGTATACGGATACCTCCGGCGGTTTGCCATGGCAATGCCCAAAAATACCTGGGACACGAGGGGCAACGCGACGTCGATTAATGTACAGTCCTGATGCCTTATGCGGGAGTTGATCTTGGTCACTAATGGCGGCAGCGGCACAAGATAGGTAGATACGTATCGCATGCATGCATGTATGCATGCAATACACCAGACAACCTAACAGTCCCTGAGAGTCCCCGAGAGTCACGCCTCTGAACAATACACAGCGAATCCCCAAAAACACTGGATCCCTGTGACTCTCGCAATGACAGACATGTCCATTCCGTCCCACTTGAACCACTCCTTGCTACGCCTTACGTTCCTTGCACCTTCAACCCAAACTCAACCCATCTCAACCTCTTCAACCTGTTGGTCGGAAACGTCCGTACACTACTAAAGCAGGCTCCATCCCTCTCCCCGTCGGCCCCGAAGGTTAAGGTTGGCATAAACCGATACACGTACAACGGCAGCCCCGTCCCAAGGTTTGCCTCTGCGACCAGCATCCGCCCCCCGTCCACCAGTGTCCTGCCTTTGCCCCGCCAAGCCTCATTCTTTTCCCTACACTACACTTCCCTACCCTTCCCGGTCAACAGGGTTCCCAACGCTACGATTTTTGCGACCTGCGGCTCGATTTTCTTTGCTCAGAGCTTTGGTCGCCTTTCATTGATATCTCCCGAGCAATAAAGAACCCTTGTTCCTAACATCAACACCATTGCCCAACACACCGCCGTCACCATCTCTGTCGACCGCTTCACAATTTTGGGGCACCCGACTTCGATTACAAACCCGCCAAACGCTCGTCACAACCCGACACCATGGTTAAACCGAGGCTCATCATCCTCATCCGGCACGCTCAGTCCGAGGGCAACAGTGCGACTCTCTCTTCCCCCCCAAGACCGAGAAATCCCCGTTCGGCCGGATTGCTAACCAGCGCTGAAAACACAGAGAACCGCGATATTCACCAGACGATTCCCGACCACCGAGTAAAGCTGACACAAGATGGCTGGCAACAAGCCTACGAAGCCGGCCGCAATCTGCGCAAGCTGTTGCGCGCTGACGACACACTACACTTCTTCACCTCCCCTTACCGCCGGACCCGCGAGACAACCGAAGGCATCCTCTCGACGTTGACATCCGACGAGGAGGACCCTTCGCCCTTCAAACGCTCCAACATCAAAGTTTACGAGGAGCCCCGCCTGCGTGAGCAGGACTTTGGCAACTTCCAGCCATGCTCCGCCGAGATGGAACGCATGTGGCAAGAGCGCGCCGACTACGGCCACTTCTTCTACCGCATTCCCAATGGCGAGAGCGCCGCAGACGCCTACGACAGAGTTAGTGGCTTCAACGAGAGCCTGTGGCGTCAGTTTGGCGAAAATGACTTTGCCAGCGTCTGCGTGCTAGGTATGTCGGGCATCTCCGAGCAGTCGATTCTGTGTTGCTGAACCGTGCAGTTACCCACGGCCTCATGTCCCGTGTCTTCTTGATGAAGTGGTATCACTTCACCGTCGAGTACTTCGAGGACCTGCGGAACGTTAACCATTGCGAGTTCCTCATCATGCGCAAGCAGGAGGAGAGCGGCAAATACACCCTCGAGAATAAACTCCGGACATGGTCAGAGCTACGTAAGGAGCGCGCTGAGATAAAGGAGAAAGAAGACAAAGAACGGAGCGAGATTGAGGGAGACCAGGAAATAGCCAACAAGGATGCCAAGACGGGTACTCTAATCGAACGCAGTAAGACTTTCATCGTCACGCGGCGTTGGGGTGGCTGTCCTAACGGGTGTAATCACAAGAGCCACTATCAGAGGCGAGACGATCTGGAAGCCCTTCGCCAAACGGACGAAGTCACCTCTAATGGGACCCTGAGTGGCCTCTCACGTCGTCAGTCCCCTGCCCCAGGGCGGCGACCCGTTAAGCGATGCGAGCAGGGGTACACATCCGACGAGGGCACCGACAGCGATGGCCGGCCACCGCAGATCGACGTCGCCCGGGCCCGCCATGAGATTGTGTCATCCCCCGACGGCACCCCGTCCTTCATCTCCGCAGAGGATCGTCTTCGGAGCATGATCTCGCCGCATCTCAATCTTGGCCGCGACTTTGGCGGCACCTTTTCCGGGCAGACCTCGATTGCCGGCAGTGACACGGACTCTTCCGAGGAGGACGGCCACAGACCAGAGATTACAGCCGTGGCTAAGATCAAAATGGGCATTGCGTCCAACGGTGACAACAACGGGGTTAATGGCAGTATCAACAGCATCGTGGGTGGCCATACCAAGGGAAATATGACACCAAGCACGGAGGACGAGCAGTCGGATGACAAAGGCAGGCGTCGCCGCGCCAACCGCCTTGGTGATACCAACAGCAGCGATCGAGGTTCCGAAGTAGACGAAGACGATATTGACGCCGCGGAGAAGCGAGACAGAAGTATCCTGGGGAGTGTTTACTGAACGGTGTATGACGGTGGCGTCGCGGTGGTTGATCCAGGGCCACATGAAGCTTAACGATTTTCTTGTGGAAGGGGCGCATCTACGGATATGGGACCTGTGCAGGAATGCGGTTTTTTCTTCTCCTAGCTCATGAACGATTTACAGGCATGAGATTGGGGGTTTCTACGCATTAGACGGGCACGGGTTACTTCATTGATGGGGCCTTGTTGGGTTCGTTGTTTACTATTGGTCACGTCACGAGGAGGATATACCTAGATTGCATGGCGCGTGAATAGATAAAAAGGGCAGTCATGTCAATGCCCAAAAAGTTTTGAAATATTCAAGCGCACTCCATCAGTATGAGTGATTTGTACATGCGTTGCATCAGTGATTAATTCGCCGTTCAGAATCTGCGGTCTGTGATGTCCAATCGCTTGCCGGCGTGAAGGATCTCGCAACTCCTTCAACGCCCAGTCGAATGCCAGGAGACGGAGAGGTTCACACTCTCGAATCAAACGAGATACTACAAATCCATCACTTATATTGCTTCATCCGTTCGACGACTGCGGCTCATCGTCGGCCCTCTCCATTGTGAAATCGTTTTTCTTTTTCTCTTAGGCAAGTCTTGATGTGAGTCCATGACCACGGGCTCCTGGGCTCCATTGATTGCCTGTTGACCTACTGTTGTAAACCGCCCCCCCTTTCTGGATCGGTTCTATGATCCCTGGCGATCCGTTGAAACTTTTTTTTTTGCTCGCCGAAGCCACGATGCTGTTGAGATGGTAGCTGTCACGTTCAGCGAGGTCTTGGGTCACCTAACATGAAAAACGGCTGTGTCTTCTCGAACTCTTTTTATCATTTTACTACACTACATGTCTAGTGTGACGGAATACCTTGTTGGGCTCAAGATTTCGATAAGTAGTATTGGCTACCATTCAAACTACTTGAACGATACGTTCGGCCTTTTAACGTCAAGGATTGTCTTTAAACATCATGTCGAGAGAGCAGATACCATGTTGTCCTGATCAAAGCAATGAAATATCCCAGAGGCCTGTTTACCTCTCTGTCTTCTTTCCAGGCAACCAGTACGCCGCCACCAAACTCCAACATGCCGCACGCTATGCCGTCTCTCATCTCCTCACACGTCTCAATAGTGAATAATCCAGTTGGTTAGTCTTGGTATCGGGAAAAGCTCGAACTGCGACAGTCCCAGCAAACTGAAATGTACTTAGTGAGGGTGGCAAATCCATAGGTTGTCGTCAATCACAGAAATGGCCTTGCTGTCGACCTGTGTGCCACTGGCAAAGGGGCAGACGCGGCGCAGACCGCACTTGATGTCGCAATCACCCTCCGTCTCGCCCTTGCACAGCGCAACCTCGTAGCGGCTGGCGTGACGGTCGTGGCCATCCCTGCAGCGGCCCGTGGTGACGGTGTACTGCGCGCGTGGGCCCCAGCCCTTGAGCGGGGTGAAGCCCCAGTTGTCCGTGTCCTGGCCGGCCATGTTGGAGCGGCAGTTCTGGTGGACTGCGAGGTGGGTGTAGTTGTTGGCGGTCATGTAGGTATCGGTGTGGTTGTCGAGGATGAAGCTGTAGGAGGAGAAGTTGCCGTCGGACGGAATGAGGCCGGGGAGGCACTGGGGGATCACGCGGGTGGTGTACTCCTCGCAGCCGTAGGCGTCGTTGACGGCCTTGAAGTCGTTGGGCGTGGGGGAATCCCAGGGGTCGATGGCCTTGGACGTCTTGGATTCCATGGTGTGCTTACCGGCGGTCTTGGCAAAGGCCTTTGCGTCGTAGAGCATGACGGAGTTGTAGTCGAACGGCAAAGAGGTACTGGCATTCGCCGCGACAGCGAACTGAGGAAGCTTGGACTTTTGAATGCGGTTTTCCAGGATAGTAACGTAGGCATCGCGGTCGGGGCGTTGTTGCTCGTGGGTGAGTCCGATGACATGTCCAAGCTAGAGTACTCATGTGAGTCTCCATGTGTGGACGAGATGACAAGGTGGATGAATTCTTACCTCGTGTACAGCCACACGGCCCTCGGCGCAGCCATCATAGGTCCCCAAGGAATTGGCCTTCTGCCAAATGTTCGGGTAATCGAGGTTCACGATCGTCTCTCCCTCTTTAGGAGAGCCCAATATACCGGACCAGCATCCTCTGTCGAACTAGCAGTCCGGTGAGTAAGCACTTTGGATCGAGTTCGCTATGAGTCTTACCTTTTTGAAGTTAACCCAGGCACCTTGGCTCGCCTTGGGGAGGAAGCGGATACATGTGGACTGTTCCCACTCTCTCATGCCATCGCGGATCAACTCTGACAGGTCGTGGGGGAGTTCTTCCAGGATGTAAGGAACTTCTGCCGAGTCCCATAGTTGCTTGGTGTCCATGGCGCCGCGCTTCTCTAGAGGCATGGCCTCGATCTCAGAACGGGTGAACATGTTGCTCGGGAACACGGCGGCAAGAGCCGGCTGCGAGAGGACGAGGGCCAAAGCCGCGAGCACCCTGAGCGAAACAGAGGCCATTTCAACGTTGAGACTCGAACTGTTACTGATAAAAAAAAAAAAAAGAGTGGATGCTGGGTTTCCTTCAAGGAGTGATGGAAGACGCTAGCCTGTCGAATTACAATATCGCAACGTGATGGCAAAGAGAGACTGGAGTGAGATTCACGATGATCATTTCTTGCGCCTTTTGAATCTGAAAAGACGAGAGGACTTATACCCTCGTGGACTTACACCCTTGTGGAACCGAATTGAGACTGTCTACTGCTAAGTCGGTTTCCGGTTCGGGACTCCCGCAACAAACACTATAATTCTCAGCAGAGTTTAATTGCAGGTTCTGACATGAATCGGTTGAAAGCGTAAAGAGGCCGGGAATGTGGAAGAAGCAGGGGGCCGGTCAATTTGAAAAGGTTCTCTCTAGAAGCGTCTTCTCGAGTCGGAGAGTTTTCCTGTGGCTGATAGCCCACTGAGGAGGTCGTGTGTCCGCGCAGAGCCCGTCTGTGTTCAAAGCATAAGGCAATTTGGGACTAGTATTTGAGTAGCGGGAACGTCGCTGTGGCAGGTAAGGACTTCCCTGGGACGACGAATGTGGCGTAGCTTGTAAATCGTCTCTGCGGTTGTCCAGCACGAGTCACGAAGTTATAAGTACATCGATCTCGCCTTGAGAAGGCAAGGGGATGGCCCTGATGGACACGGTTTTGCGGGAGTGTTGCAAGCGTAGAGATTACTTTTGAAGACTTGCGAAGGAGCCCGTGGGTGCCTTTTGTTCTCTTTCAATAGCACATTAGTTGCGCATCGTTTGATTATTGAATGATACACTCTCCATGTCTGTGCTCTTGTTGTGCCACACGCAAAAAGGTCAAGAGTATTGTGTAACAAGCTGGGAAAATGCGTTGCCTCTAAACCTTGGCTGCCCAATAGCTGGGTAGAATATCAACGACCAGTTTCCCCGACGCAAGTCCAAGTACCCTTACCCTCAAGAAGGAAAAGCTTACTTGCCGAGACGACCCTGAAATTTCGACAGGATACATTGTGATTGGCTCCGACTTCAGACTGTGTGTAGTCACAAACTTGAAGTTCTCGCACCGTGTCGCTTATAATAGCTTCAATTATTATCGGCCTAACCGAGTTGCATCCACCATATGAGCAGGTAATCCTCACCTTCGGTGTCTACTGGTGATGTCAGTCGTTCAAACTTCGCAGGTGTCTCGGCTGCTTTCAAGTGGACCCGCCTGTATAGTTTTCTAGTGTTCATCTCGTCAAGGGTCTTCTGATGGCAGCCTCTGGCGACTGTTGTGGAATAGGATGGAGGCTTCGTTCGTGGCCGGCTCTCCCAAGTGTGTTTTTCCTTTTTCGGTCCTTAATTATCCGGTTTGAAAAAGAGGATGAAACTTTCGCCTCCATGGTCTCCAACGGAACGAGTAGTCGAAGAGAACATATAGTGTCTCCTTGACGATGTGAAGCGGGCCACAAGTGAGCTGCAAAGCCGAAACGTAGCAGGCCGCACTCAAGAACCATTCAATTTGCCGCGCCACTGGGATACATCAGCAGCCCATGTCATCAATTTTTGTACTAGTTCTGGTGTTCGGCTGGGAATTCCGTCGCTTTTCAAGATTCCTACTTCAGCGTTTATCCAAGGCACGTCTTCTTCAGCTTGTTTAAATCAGTGCGGTGATTGGTCAGAGGAACCAGATGTGCCGAGATGCCGTTGTGGGTCCACACCGGAGCACACCCCGGAGAGCCCGAGACCCGGAAGAGGAATCGACAAATGTCGCCTTGTTATGCCTCCCTTGCTATTCAAACCATCCCGCTGAGCTTTGATTTTCACATTGATCACCAAATGAAAGGCGGCGCCACGGCAGGGACGGGTAGCAAACCTGCAGATGGAACAGCTGCCGGCGACAACAACCGTTGCCCCCTCTAAAGTTCAACTCCGGGGGCCGCCGGTGGCCTTTCTCCGCCTCATCGATCTGTACATATGAAGACGCAGTCGGAAATTTCACCAAGCTCTTCCGGACCACCAGCAAACATCCTGACAACGTAAAGGGCCAACGAGACCAAGCGTGTGCTTGGAGGCCTGGGTGACTCCTTCTCATCACCAGGCCCCGTTGAGCAAGGTTGCAACGAGAAGTCAAAAGCTGAACAACCGTTTGTAACTTTGTTCTACGAGCAGCATCAGCAATCAAGTTGGGCCAGAAGCAGGAGATTGTCCCTCTAGATATGCAGAACAGCATGGTATCAATCCATAACTGTTCATACGTTGAAGACCTTGTCATCCATCATCGCTTCGAACTCGAGCCGGTTTCGAACTAGAGCCGCATGTTCCAAGAACCTGCTTGAAAGCTTTACGACTTCGGCTCTATCTTTTGCGAGAGCATTACTTTCCTGGCGGTCAAAACCGCCGCAATATCAGGGAGTAAGTTTCGCTAGACGCTGCAGCCGTTCCTCCTCGTCAAGTGCGAGTCTCTTGAAGCCCACAAGCCTGATGCGCGAGCTTATCATGGCTAATCTCAACAGACCTCTGAACCGTGTACAAGTGCACATTGATACGACACAGCGAGGTCGCTAGGATTTTGCCGAAGGACCTATGTAAAAGGACCAGTACTCAAAGCAATTTGGTATCAGTATGGCCCCAATACGGGCGTTGAACAGGACGTTGTTGTTTCATAAATGCCAAGTGAGCTGCCTTTTATAGTACTCCATGCTGAATATTCTTCGATGAACATCTAAGAGAACACCATTGCAACTTGATGAGCTCGCATGGAAATAGTGCAGCGTGTACGCTGCGGCCTTGCCTGCGCCCACCAACTCGTCTATTAGTAGCAATCATACTGGCACCATTTCTCCTGCCACCATCTAGCAGCGTAAAGACTCGTCGGAATCCCAGACGACTTGATGATCGCCATCGTCGGCCCGACGTTAAGATAAGCCGCCATGAGTTTTCTGCCTGCTCATCTTACCTGGTCGATTCGTTGGTGCGCCCCGGTCCAGCAGTTTCTTTATTTCTCTGCCAAGGGCAAAAGATTTGCCTCAATTTGCCACAATATTACCTTCGAGTATTGAAAAGGTGTGTTCCTTTCGTCAAACGAGTTTGGCATCAAGCAGTCAGGGTGAACAGTCAGAGATACGGTTTGCATTTATCTTTAGGCTCGACTCTCTTTACATCTACACATACCACTCGGTGCACAATGCAATCTGTCTTAATTTTGACGACCTTGACTGCGGCTTCATCCCCTCTTCAGCAAGCCAGGGCTTTGCCGTACTCTTCTCTCCTCGCTCGTCCATCCCACCCGTGGATCACACTCTACTCAGGACGACGACAACTCAGATATTTCGAGCTTCAGGGAGACTATCTGAGGCCCTCTGGAAAGCGATCCATAGGCAGCTGAAGTGAGACAGCAAGCCAGGCTAGCTCTGGGCCTCTCGCAAGCATTTCTTAACTAGATGTAATCTGTCAGAATCTCGTACACTGCAATCAACCATCGGCGCAGTCAAGCTAAAAAAAAAAGGTGTCATCTTTGCCACGAAGAAGCAAAATCGAGCCCGAGATAGCCAATTCAACGCGCCTTCCCGTGACATACGCGGTGTTGTCAGCTTCGTGAACCCCCCCTACGTCGGACGAGAACTGTCCAAGATCGATATCCAGACCACTTCACTTCACACTCCCCCCCAAGAGAGTGTCTATAGCTCCACGAGCGGTCTCTATACTGACCCTCCCTCCATCGATTGGATCCCAAGGTCCGTCCTGTCGCCAGATCCATGAGCCAAGAACCGTCTGGCTACGATGTCACGATGTCTATCCCTGTCATCGAAGAATTGTCTTTGGAATCATAACGAGCCCGGAGCAAGCCCTATCCTCCAATGGCCTGTATCCCTCGAGCGTGCAAACCCGGTAAAGGGAAGAGACACGACGAAGGACTCCCACCCCGAGGAAGGGGTGAGACAGATGATGGAGAGAGAAGCACCGACAGTCGAGGATTGCATGATCGTGGCGCATCATCTGTCGGGTAGCCGCAGCATACTGTTTGTGCAACTCGGCGCGGCGCAGGTCGAGGTCGTGCAACATGCCAGCCTGCCTTCCTGCGCTCTACGACCACTCACTCGTACCATTTTACCACTTGGTCGGGGCTGTCACTCACTCACTCCTTGGCAAAGAAGTCCAAAACAGTCTTTGAGATGACGTGTATTGCCCAACACAGCTTCATGATGAATCATGGAGGAAAAGGAGCGCTTCCAGACGGGAAGGTGCTCATATCAGTTGCTGAATGAGGAGCCAAGGAAACCGCAGAATTGGAATCGTTTCTGTTTCGTCACCGTGATGCTTTCCAAGAGCATCGCCCCCTCCCCGCAGATAGACAGGGGGGATCTCTTTCGTACTCGCCAAGATGGATAAGTTGAAAAAGAAAAGAAAAGGGAAAAAAGCCCCCCAACAGACAAAACGACCTCAGCCAAAAATCCCGAAATCTATGACCCGTACGATCTCAAACCCCTGGCCGTCTAGATCGTCCGCCCATTGCCCATCCCCAACACCGACCGACCTGTGGATAATGAACCGGAAATGCTCTCCGCGACTGATCTCCTCCCCAAAATGGCAATCGGCAGCCAGACCGATCTGTCTCTAACCGAGATACGCTTCCTTCATCGTGATGAGACCTGCATGAAGAAACGATCCGGTCGATGCGTGAAGCACACATTACGGGTCCCTCCACTCACGCGCATTCCCACTAGGAGACATGCATCCAGCTCTCCACGTCCCGTCTGCACAGCAGCAGCAGCAGCTCATCCTCACCGGGAGGGGTAGCTATCACGCCGAAAGCCTCACGGATGCTGGCATTCTCGACGCGATCTCCCGTCTCTCCTCATCATCATCGTCAGAGCTGAGTGGCCTGGATGGCGTCGCGCGACCAAGCTAGGCAAGCCGAGCTGATGGTGATGATGCGCGGGCACCCGCATCATCGTCCGCCTATCCAACACTCGCAGACCGAAAAGCAAGGGAGAGAGAGAGAGAGAGAGAGCGCCGCCACGGCCCACGGCTCCCCAACATGCCCCATTTCCGACCGAAAACTGCCGCCTCCCGTCTCTTGTTCCCCTTCCAGTTCCAGGTGCTTCTTCTCCTTCTTCCCCCCTCGCTTCCCATGATCCATCGCCCCATATCCCACCGGTGTGGAGCCCAGCTCCCGCGCCGGAGGCTCATCTTGCCGGCCAGCAACAAGCGGGCATGGAGGAAGAAAAAGAAAGTCCGGGGCCCTCATCGGTGAAGACTGGGAGTCTGTGCGACAGCTCACCGGCTGTTTCCGTCACAAATCTGATTTTCTCATTTTTTTTCTCCAATTCTTGTTTCTCAACTGCCGTTGTGAATCAAGAGTCGAGCCCATCAGTAGTGCCAAAGTTGTCAAGGGGTAGGCAGGTAGTATCATCACCTCCGATACGCCCGTCTCTGCAACTGCCAGCTACCATCCGGGATCTGCCAGTGCTGTGCCCCTCGGGATCTGGATTACCTACCTTAAAGCCGTGTCTACCCATCTGGACAAGATCAGCATTTGAATCAAATAACCGGTTAATGTCCGTCAGAGAAAAGGCTCCAGGGGAGGGGTGTTCTTCATTGATCAAAGTCCAAATTCCTGTCCTCCGACCAGGGTGGGAAGAGAAATGACAAGGGGGAAGTAGAGTATGAACGGCGGTCCAGGCCCGGCGGCTCGGTAGAGGGACGGTACCATTAATTGGATCCCCAAAACTCCGTGGTTCTCGCCGTTAGTCGCTCTGCCTCACACAGGGCCCCGGCCGGAACCCGGCCAAAAATTTCAGAGCATCTCCAATGAAGGCTCGCCGACAGGGCTCTGGTTCCCCCCCTGGCGGCCATAAATGAGCCGCATGAGAAAAATGATCCAAGTGTTGGTGATCCGTAAGCCAGCCAACTCGACAACGCCCGCTCTCGAGCGAGAAACTGCAATTACATGGATTTGGCCCCCCCTTTGACCTTGGTCCCAAACGGAGGGAATGATCCCCTTGCCCCTGGCAGATTCGGTAGGAAAGGAAGAAGGGAAAAGAAATGCCGAGGAGAGAGGTGCCTTCAGGAACGAAGATGGCCGCCTCTCATTGGACCGCTGACCGGGAGTGACCTCCCTCTTCGCCAGGGCTGGACCGGCTCACCTGTCTCGGTGACCTTGCCCACTGGACCATGAAATTGGGAGGGGGGGTTCGCGATAGGAAATATCCCGTGAGGCTGGCTGACCTGACGGGGAATGGTGGATGCGTTGCCGAGTTGCGAAAGCAGGCTGAGAGCAAAATTTCTGCTTCATCAGGAGGACGGGCATGGCCAGGTGAGCCAAATCAATTATATCGTCCCAGGGAGGTGGGCAGGACAAACCTCAGCACGACGCCGCCTGTCACCAGCCCTTCCTGCGCCTTCCTGCTCGCGGTGTGTATCCGGTCAGCCCGGTCTGATGCAGGCCACACCTTCATGACCAGATTGGGACGCCAGACGGGAAGTTGGTGGGCGCGGAACGGCTGGATGTGGACGGGGAGGTGGGAACAGTCTTAGCTGAGCGTCCATGTTTCGCCCCTACATAGACCTGGGTGGCAAGGAGAAGGGGGAGGAGGAGGAGGAGGGAAATGACCTGCCTGGCTTGGGGAGACAGACTGTTGTTGAGGGTTTGGCGTCGAGTGACTGGTTGACGATAGCTGCACAGCGAAATGGAGGGGTCGCAACCACCACATACAAAACTGGCGTAGAATGGGTGGGAAGGAGAGGGGGAGGCAAGCCCGCGCGAGGGTGTCTGTAAGGTCTAGCTCCCCTTCCCGACCTAGAAATGGGACGACAGTGGTGGTGATGGTTGGCGTCGATGGTGGTGGCCGGGAATCTGCACACTCGTGCATCCCGTCACAGATGCGTGCCTCTTCTTTGGGACGGAGCGTGGGACGAGGGGCAGGAGGAGGAGGAAGAGGACGTTGCTGAATAGGCCACTGGGCGCCGTGGGCAGAACACCCAGCGAAGACAAGCTGAAGCTTTTGGGAGCGACGCCTCTCGTCGACCGGCGACGTGCTGTGTGGCGTTGGACATGTCATTTCCTCGTGCTTTTCGATTGGCAGTCTAAAAACTGGTTGTCTGCACATCGGCGTGGTTTTGAAGCAAGGGGTGAGAGGAATGGGTCGATGAGACTTGGAGGAGGAGGAGGAGGAGGAGATGGAGGAGGAGTGAGGCCTCGTTCATCCCTCTTTTCTTCCTTCATTGTTATTGTATGCTACGGATACTGAGAGAGAGAATGTTTGTCTTTGCCACACACGCGGAGAGAGAGAGACTAGGAGACGTGAAGAGAAAACACGCCCGCGAAAAGAAGAAAGCTGAGACTTACGAGGCTAACGGCGTCGAAGCGACCATGCGCGCGTGGGTTTGCGTTCCAGACGGACACCCACCACCAACGGGTCTTGGAGAGGGAGGGGGAATAAAACACCTTGACCGTTGGAAAAAAAGGGCAGAGAACAATTCGCAGAGGCGAAATGATTACATACCACTGGCAACTCATGATGCCTGGCTCTCACACCAGCAGTCGATCAAGGCGTGTGTGTGTGTGTGTGTGTGTGTGTGTAGCATTGAGTGCCGAGAGGGCCAAGCCTGATGGAGCACAGAGTGACCCGCGAGATGGTGTCGTCCATCACGATGTGGTTTTCCCGAGAAGTGGAAGCCCTCTCAAGCTCCAAAGGCGCACACTGCTCGTCGTCTCGTCTCTGGACGGACGCACTCAGATGATTAGGCCTGGGCGGTTGGGACGGCCAAAGGCACGTACTCTTTCTCGCCTTCTACAACCCTCCACCCCAACCTCACTTTCGCTTCGTCAATGGGCAGCTATGAACTAAGGTATACCAAAAGTGTCGATGATTGGATCCTCGCCGCCGTTGTCAGTCGACAGCCACCTCGGAGGGCGCCGCCAGGGTATCACGGACCAACAAATGAGCCTTCCACGCTCCTCACCAACCGATCATGGATGGCTCTGCCCGGGAATAGTCAGGACTGCAGTCATTCGCGTAATACGACGACGGCTTGCGTCGTCAATTCCGAATCCCCTCACCCACGCATGACTTGGTCTTGGTGAAGTAGCGAGCGACGGCCACTCGCCCCGAGACAGACGTTTCGAGTAACATGGAATGCATACAGAATGACAAGTCAACACCTAGGTAGCAATAATGGCTCATGCATGGAGAGACCTAGGCACCCCCCAAAGAGCCCACAACGCCAACTTCAAGTTTATCAACGAGTTCGTCGCAGACCGAGACAAATTGTTGTTTACTGCGCACAGTCCCACACAAAACGAACGCCCGCGGCCGCCCACCCCGCAGCTTTTGTCAGTTATCACGACCGTTGCGTCAGATAGTCCTATCAAAAATCCTTCGTTTCTCTCATCCTAGCGGCCTAGGTTGTAAGCGCTGTCCTAAAAGCATGGCAACCACCCCCCCTTGCAATAAGGCACTCCAGGCTAGAACGGCAGTGTCGGATACAACAGTGTCCGGAGACTAGTGCTTCGCCTGCTGATACTCGACTTGTCAGCTCGAGGCCTGTAAGAGACCCTCCTCCCCTCCAAGGACTCGGACGACGCTAAGCAAGCATTGAGTGCGTGATCGCCTTGGAGCAAGGTAAACCCCAGGTCCCCTAAGCCTACGAACACACAACACTTACGGGGTTGGGTTAGGGGGGGGAGGGACGCCACGGGCAGGCCAACCACCATCTCGACCGTTGCTCACCATCAACCAGAAATTGCATTCGTTCGGTGCCACTGGCCCTGACATGTTCGGATATGCATGACCCCCTTTGCGTCAACTCTCTCTGTGCTTCCTTTGGTGCTTACTGCGTGTCACCTTATCCGTACTCCCCTTCTCGGTTCCTCTGGATAAGCGTTGCAAAATGAACAGTCCGACAAGGAATGCACCCGTTGCTGCAGCTAAACCCCCCTGGCAGGTTGGGGTAAGAATGGACACGGAAACGGGGGGTCGACCTTCGTGGCTTTGAAAATCAATAGTTGACAGGGCCCAGCTGGGTAGTGTGGCGTTATGCCTGAGGTGATGCTATTCGTGGATTGGGGCCTTTGCCTCTCGTCTGATGTGTCACTTCGTCCGAATATCAAAAACTAGACAAGTCAATCCGTGGCAGTCATATCGGGGCCAGATTCGAACCCGCGTCTTCAAGCTCTCTGTTTGGAGCAAAGCCCGGCTGGATACGGAGTAGCACCCATCCATATTGGGTTATCGTGAACGAATGCATCGTCAATTGCTGGGTTCGTGGCCGCTTCGACATCGTGGCCGGGGAGGAATTACACCTGTGGAATACGGATACTGCGTATATCGGTATCCGTACATATCTTAAATGGAGAGAAACTCAAGTCGCAAGGATAAGAGAGCAGGTGGACTGTGTGCAAACTTGGGTTGTTGGTCGATGTGAGCCATGCATTGGATGCTCCACCCATCATCTCGCCAGGAATGCGGGGGAGGAATTAAAGTGATACGAGATGCCCGTCGTACAAGTCTCATTTTGGCCCCGACGCGATTGCATCACTGCTCACTCAGTATCACTCCATACTCCGCACCCAAGTTGTTTAGGTACCCTACTTGGGAGAAGCTGTCTTCGCCATCCATGACCACCGGTCAGCCGCTCGTGAACCGTGACCCCATCTCATCGTCTTGCATGTCTCGCCACGCCTGCGCCGCTTCCACGGACCCGCCCGTTTGAGATGAAGGAGAGCCACCAAGAATGCGGAGAAAAAACACAATGTCGTTTCGACGCAACGCTGAACCGGCCCATTTGACACGAACAGTGGGCCCATCACCAGATCACCTCTCAGACTCGTAGTCCAAACGAGGCTTAGCAAATCACGCTCTCCCAGACTAAACCTTTTTCTCCGCGACCTACGCCGCACGAGCACTTGCGAAAAAAGCAATATTATGTGAGACAGGAGAGAAAGGCAAGGGGCCTTCGAGGATGTTGGCTGGAGGGCATCTGGGGCCATTTATTAGTCAGCCGACTTGTGCTGCTAGTCCATGATGAATACTTATGGTCCAATATACGGATGCCATCGGATTCACTTGATACATGGTGTCATGGGCCAATCAAGAGAACAGGCTGCTCCGAAATGAGGACAAGAGGCTGACAAGATGCGGTTGACACCATTGAGCAAACCGACAAACACATACCTGGTCGTCGCAAGGGCGCGAGCATGCCTGCGTATGTTTGCTGATGGCACTGGCCGTAAGTGCCGGAGCCCGTCGTCCACTCGTCTTTGAATCCAGCACGGTGGTTAGGCAACGGGAACAGAGCGGCCCTTCGCCTGAGGGCTCTCCCGCCTGTGTTCCTCATCATTGGGATTGTTATCATGTGAGGGTTGACACCACTTGCCCTTGCTGCATTCGGCACAGTCTCACCGCGGTGGCGGACGCTCACCTCAGCGCGATGCTCTCCAGTTCCCAACTCGGTCGTTGAGACTGGCGCCTGGTAAATGTCCACCGTCGTCCTAGTACAAGTTCCGGTTCTGTTGCCCAAACAAGACACGAAGTTGCAACAACACCGCGTGTCTTAGACTACTGTGTATGCGTCTCGCGAAGCCGGGGTGAACTCGAGTTATGAAAGGGGCTGCGATATGCCGGAGCCGCTCTACGTCCATCCGCCGCTCCTAAGAGTCCTATTCCAGATGGTTGACACGGTTGTCCAAACGCGGGCTATAGCAAAGGATTTGAATGGACAGGCCTCCCCTGCCCATCCCTGTCGCTATCGCCAGTCGGCCATTTTCTTCGCACAACCTCCTGACACTGTAGTTACACTGCAGCTTCAGCATATCGATTTTGACCAGGGCTAATATTGGTCAGTCCTCTCGCCAAGGATTGAAAGAAAAAGAAAGGAAAAATAGTGAGAGCGTGGGGGTCGCTGAGCAAGCACTGCAGAGGGGTGACTCTAAGACAGCGCCTCTCGGGTTGCTGACATGGGAGAGCAGAGGCCGCGAGTAACGATCGCGCTTACGTGGTGGCTAAGATCGAATCAAACCAATTATGATGTCTGTGTGTAAATAATGTGCTTTCCGGAGGCCAGTCCTGATTTGGTCCAGGGCAGAGTTTGGGCAATGATGGCGACTCGAGTACGGAATATTGAAGAAATTTTTTTGGCCTGTCCCTCGACGCCTTCAGGGGCGTAATTGACTCATATTTGGACATCGTTGAGCCGTGGAATTCTGTGTCCCGAACCATGGAATTTTTTTTTTCACTTCGTAAGCCGGCAATTCTGCTCCTGAGCTCAGGGGTCGGGAACTTGAATCTTGCCATTGCTTCTTCAGGCCTGGCGAACTCAATCTGCCCGTCGAGCGAACTACTTGCCGTGCTCCACTAATGATATCGGATGAGATGAAATCTTTTTGTATGGTGCTTCGAGGAGTGAGCTATTGTTCTACTGCAAGGTACGCGGTACGTGGCCAGAGTCGATGCGGCCGCAGATGTAGGCACGCAAACACGCAACCAGATCCAACGAACTAAGGAAGAGCACCGCGGCTTGTTTGTTGTCGCTCGACGTGGTTCGACGTCTGGTCTGGGTGAATGTCAGCAACAGCCATTGGGAGTCTCGCTGGTGCTTCATCAATTGCGTACATTGCCATCACACAACAATCACCCGACGCCACGAGGGCTTCCAAAACGCGCCCGCACTTAGCGAGCCAGCCCTCATTGAGCAGTGGTGCCTTCGTTGTTTATCGGTTGCGCTTCGATAGCATGGTTCCTGCTGCACTGAAAGTCCTACCTCTCAGTCATACCAAACAAGGCTAGCCCTGGCGTTCGCAATCAAGCTGTAGTTTTCGACTCGTCCAATGAGATGCGGGTAGGCGCTGACAAAATCTCAGCTTGGGCAGAAAAGGACAGTGTCACGGGATGACTGTGAGACATTGCGGGTGTTCTGGAGAATTCCAGCGGCTAGGTAGTCGTTATGATCGGGCTTGACGTAGGGATACCGACGACAATGGATCAATGAGAACCGCTCGATACCATGTCAGCCCAGGTGACAGCTGGGTAGACTCGCTGCGGGCTTGAGACTATCCTTGAACCTTGATCGTGAACATCATTTTCAAATATCTGCGTCGGCCTCAGCGACTGCTTGCCGCACTTGATCCACCTGGCATCGTCGAAAAGTCGAACGGGCCGAGTCTAAGGGTTGCAGCCAGAGATAAGCGGCAACTCAGATGCCTGGGTATTGAAACCCAGGAGACATTTTTGCGATGCTCGACGTCGGGAGACAGACAAAGATGGACTTGGCCCGAACACGCCTTCTCGACCTCCACCTCATCCCCAGTCCTCCTCTGCAGACGGAGCAGGGCTAGTCCCTGTTTTCTCGCATGGCCCGTGTCAGGAACACGGCAGCGCGCTCTCTAGTCTTGACTTGTGGTCTTCGGTGCGGCATCTGGTATCAAAACTGGTTCTCGCCATGGGTGATGACGATGGACATTCTTCGTGCTGATCAAGATACAGATCCTCGGTGTTGCATTCCTATTGCTAGAGTTCGTTTGGCGGCCGTCGTGAAGGGTTTGTGAGATAAGGGCTAGCACAGGACATTGCGGGATCATGATTATCGGCGGGCATTGAAGTAAATGACTACCCCCAGCTTCTTCCACCCTCTCCCCATTTCGCCGGATCCGACCGAGATAATGCTCGGGGCATGGCTCAATTGAGACTGCTGTCCTCTTCAGCAGCAGCTGAGAGCTACGGCATCTCCAGAAAACAACATGACCGAATAACAACTGCCAGACTGTGGGCCAGGTATTCATTGACCGTTTGCCGCATGGTGGGGGTTGTGATTGAGTTGGTGTCCGCTGTCCTTCGTCTGTGGCCCTCCTTGAATTGACCTATCCCACCAAGACGCAGATAAGTGTAGGAGCTCGCCAACAATGCAATTATCAGGTTTGAGGCTGGTTCCTGCTTCAGCATACCAACGGCTTTAGACTGGAGCCAGTGCGAATCCTTTGTCGCTAGCCTCCATCCCGGCCGCAACTCGATCGAACTCTATTGCTTTCTTCATCTAAGCGAAGTCCGAGGCTCCCGCCTTCAGAGGTTTAAAGTTAACTTTGGCAGGATTGGGAGGGTTCCGTCTTCATGCTATCCGCTGCACGCAACGGATGCCGACAATTCCGATGGAGGCTATTCCGTGCTCGCTCGGGCGCGCTCTCTCTCTTGGTCCGAGTGGACTGTATGAAGTTGCTGCGTGCCGTCAAGGTAATGGGAATAGACTTGCTCAACAGCCGACTAAGAAATCTTGGCTAGGAGATCTACGAGATCCATATCTCCTGCCTCCCAAACGTTTCTTCGCTCTGTATTAAGTGGACTAGGCGCTTGTATGCGTCTTACTTGGGGGCGAAATACTTCCTTGTGCGGGCGCAGAGCACAAGTAACCCAAGCCACGCGCGTACTGATAACTCGAGGGGCTCGCATTCACCCTCAGAATCCCACGCCAGATCGCTGCGAGCCGTCGGAGTACGCAAGTTTGGTCACACCAACCCCACAACCTCCCGGATATGAGTGGGTTGATTGTTGGCGAGGCCCAGGAGCTTGATGCAGATATCAGTGGGCGGCGGATTAAATGATCATCCTGACAATATGTCTCTGTGACGTGTGCCAGTTCCTGGAAGAAGCGTCTCGGCAAGGTTGAACCAAGCCGCGTGATTGGCTGTGCGCATAAAGAGATGGCTTATCTGAAGGGTGCCGCTACGTTGAAACCAAGCTAATAGGAGTCATGGGGTTCTTGTCTCTCTACTATTGTCAGAGACAATAATTTCGTGATCGCAATCGCCATCATTATTTGGATCAGCGCCTTAACAAGATAACCGCGGCAGCCTTGTCGAAAGAGCGGCCGGCACTCGAGGGTCGATCACGGCGACAATCGCAAAGATGGCGAGATGGATCATCTTGTGCGTCGGCTTTGATTGGCTTCCGGCGTTGAAGGCTGTAGTTGAACGACCCAAAAGTTCGCCCCTCGCACTGGTTTGCTAGCCCCAGTCGTTGCGGCACAGAAAGCTCTTGAAGCCCCTGAGGTGCGGTTTATTTGACAGCCCCGGGCGCTCGTAAGACGTCAGTTCCCCCAAAGTGATGATGGCGACGAACTCCTCTGACCCATAAGAGAACCGGCTCCAGGGTCAGGTCCTGCAACAATCCGCGATGCAGAAGCTGCATGCATGTTTGTGCGAAGGCGTCAGTACGGTTGGTCAGGTGGGCAATCCAGACGGCCTTCTTTGCCATCGGTTGACTCGGGAGGTATGGTGCTAGTGTGGGGAGGCATGCTGTGACGCTGATTTGTTCAACGTTGTGGGCCTGTTCCCGCCCCCCCGCCGCTTCAGAGCGTACGTAGTATGCGGGCGGTGGTTGAACCGGTTTAGCCGCTCTTGGCCCGCATCAAATTCCAACTGCATGGATGAACGACCACGGAGGGCCTCAACGGAGACTTCGACGGCGAATAGCGGCTGCAGACGACAGAAGCTTTAGGAAGACACTTAGTTGATGTGACGAGCACTCTGCGTCTACCACCATCGTTGCGTCTCCATGCATCCATCGTCACGGACGGTGTCATAGTGCACCCAACAGAACCGTGGCATTGCAGCCTCCAGACTTGCCTCTGCAACACTGCTTCTTTCTGTCGTCGGCTTAGGGCGGAGACATCGGGTTGCTGAAGCACAAGGTCTCCGATATCTTTGACCAGATGGCTCCATAATTATTACTTGAGGAGGAGAACGATGCGGATGGCGTACTCGGACTTTTGCAAGAGCTTGGAATTACTCCCAAGCTGTACTAGTTCCTAGGCCCGCATGAGCTAGGAAGACAGCATGTTTCGCAGTGTCTGTAACGCAGACGAATGGGCCAGGAAAACAGACGATGATGACAGAAGGCAGACCAGCCGATCGAGGGTGACATAGCTTCGGGGTGTTGTGATGCCACAGTGCATGCTGCAAGGTTGAGTGAGACCCATGGATGGAGGTGGAGTCGTCCGTTGCAAAATAACGTTTGGTTGTCATGCCAGGTTCACCTGGGTTGAGGCGGTCATGAGGTGTGTATCGAAACTCTCGAAACCAGGACACAGCCCTCTCGTCAACGGCAAACGATGGGTATTTCGCAATGCTCCAAGACCACGACGAAATCTCAATTGCGTGCTGGGATGGGCGGATAGCGATGGTGAACCCCAGGTTTTCGCTCTGACGCCACCCCGCGACAAGATGGTGTTGAAATTGGCGTTGGATCTGCACAATTTGGACGGCGGCCAATGAGGAGCACGACGGCTTTCACCTGGTTTCTGTCCCCCTACCCTCGCCCTCCTCCTGGCTACTGCAGCAGGGCCGATCAGTTGCGGTTGTCGTTACGTGGTTTTGGTGGGCTAAGAGAAGGGAATCGTCTCGAGACAGAGGCGGCAACACGAAAAGAGACCACTGGGCACACGAAAACGTCAACTTGCTTGGTTGGTCGCACCAGCGTCCGTCAGTTGTCTGAATTTTGAAGGGACCAGCGTCCAGTTTGCCGTCCCCACCAGCTACCGCCATCGTAGCATTCAATGGCAGTCTATCTTGGCCCGGCGTGTGGTGTGTTGCCGTCGCCGTTGGCCTCACTGCTGCCGCTCTGCCGCTCGAGGGAAATTCTCCAGAGAGTGGAGAATGGAGAAGGGGACGGCCGCTGTTGCTATTTTTGCGGATACCAACCCCCACGCGGCTCCATGCTTCATATCATTCGACAAAGGGCTGATTTGATTCCATCATCTTGGGCTGATACCCGTTTCGTCCATGTATGTGCCCCCGAGGACATCATACCAGCGACGGGAATTGTGAGGAAACCGATCATGATGGACACGGGAGATGTAGGGTCTCGGAGAGTGTTGGGAAACCAACAGGGAGATTGAGGTCGTAGAGTTTTCATTTCTCCATCTCCAGCTCCTGGCTCCTAGCCCGGGTTCGCCCAGGCGAGGAGGGAACAACCGCGATCTGGGCTGGTCCAGCCAGCTCCCAAGGCCCGGTGCTTGTATAGAGTGGCGTTGAATGGGATCGAGCTCTGGGCGTGCTGCTGGGCTTTGAGGGCGAAAGTGTAAGTTGCAGTCCAGTCGCATTTCTCATTAGCCATCCCAATTCAACATGTCCTCGTCGTTCGACGGTGGCCAGAAGCCCATGTAGGGTACGAATACTGACGGCGGTGGTGGTGTGCTGCTGTTGCCAGCGCCCAGCAAGCAACACAGGAAGAAAAAAGACGATAGTGCAGCTCTGGATCTGACCAAACACCTGACTGTCCTTTGAGGGGAGGCCGGGGTTGAGCCCTGCTAGTATCAATTGGGAGGGCGTGGGCGTCGATCATAGGTTTGAATTTGGGCAAGGGAAAGACGGAGAAAGTGGGTCAGCTTTCCGACAGCACGAGGGGCGTGAGGGAACGACCGAAGACAAGCTTGGGCCAATGGCATCCGCACGCACTAGACCGAAACAATGTTAGCGCGTATGTATCCACTCAGCGCATTCTCACTGGCTCAGGAGGAGTGGGTTCGGCTCAGCGTCTGCAGCAGCCCTCTGTACTCATGCCTGAGGTAGTCTTCCACTGCGATCCATTGCATTACTGTCAAGAGCGGGCGGACCCGTACCTGGCGATACAAATTGAAGAGGTACAGATATTGGTTGCCTTCTTGCTGCCCACGCCATTTGTATCCACTCTGTGCTGCTGCCGTGGACTGCTGCGTTATGTAGCTCTCGGATGTCCACACGCCCCCTGGCGTCATTGTCGACAGTTGGCTCTCTCTGGCTGGCCTGTCTTGGGACCGTCGCATCCTTTGCAGATAACGCAAGAGCAGCATCGGAGCAGACAAGAGCAAGTATCTCGCAGCTCAGTTTCAACTAGCCACTACCGCTGACCCGCTTCTTTGCACTTCTTCCCAGCTCCACGCCATCATGAATTATGTTTTTGCACCCCCTCCACCCCCCTTCTCTCTCTCTCCTTACCCCCATCCATACACTTTGCTGAGCACAATTGTCGCCTTTGACGCAGAAAATTTTCAGAGGAAATCATCACACGCCCGTGTCTGCTGGATGGTCCCCTGCTCCCTCTCCCCTGCCCTCCCGAAGTGAGGGACGTACCCTTTTCCTTTGCCTCCACCTCCCCTCACAAATCTCTCGCTCTCTCTCTCTCTCCCAATCTGCTAATCTCGCCCATCTCGCTCCCCTCCTCTCCCACCTCCCCTCCCCTCTCCTCTCATTCACTCCCGCCTGCTCGCTCACCCCTCCCCGCCCCTCTACCTATGCCTTTCCTTCCCACCCCCCTCTCCTTCAGTCGGCGCTATCTGCTGCAGGGCATGAGAACTTGAAGTGGGGTCCTGGCTCAGCCCATCAGATTGCCAATGCCATCCTTGCTGTCTCTCTGCCCTCCATCTCCATCTTGCCATCTCCACCCCGGACCTGCACACTAGCGGCCACTTCCTGCCCTTGTGCTTGTGTGTGCATGTTTGTGTGGTTGGTGGGTGTCTTGTCGCTCTCTCTATCCACTTCCAAGTATCTTCTCACTCACTTGTGCCAGGCCCGGTACTTGCCATGCACCATAGGCCTTGTCTTGGGCGTGCTCCCACTGGTGGGCAGGCTGTGCTTCGAGGATAGATACATATGAGCCGACCTCTTTCCACCCCTCGATCCACCTCTCGTCCTCTCATCATTCGACTTCACTCGTCTTCTCCTCCGGCATTTGTTCGTAGCTCATTCTCTTGCCTGTGGCTTCCAGTTCTGTTCATATATCGACTGCAACCCGTCCAACTCGGTCAATACTTGCCACCATTCACCAACAACACTACAGCTTGCCCACATACCAACATACCAATTCCATCCAGTCCACCACAGACAAGACCAGAACACTGGTTGACTCGACTCGCTTCGGCTCACACAAGGCACCAACTACAATTTCAAAACATTAACCAGACGCAATGGCCGCTTTCGACCTCTGGACTCACGAATTCTGCCTCGGCTGCGACAAGCAGACCGACGGCACTGCCTACTGCTCCGAATCATGCCGCCTGGCCGACTTCGAGAAGACGTCGACACCCAGCTCGGTTGCCAGCTCGCCCGGCTTGAACACCCCCTCCTATCCTTGGACTGCCTCACGCCAACAGTCCAACACTTTCTACCTCTCGCCGGCTTACGACTTCACCAATGCTCAGCCCTACGGCAGCACTCCCTCTAGACAGTCCTACCTCTCTTCAACAAGAACACCCTCCACCATCCGCCGCACTTTGACCACCTCGAGCTCCAACTCCAGCCTCTGCTCGATGCAGAGCACAACATCTTCAAACACCGACGCCAGCCAACTCTCAGAGAAGGCCAAAAGGGAGCTCCAAGCATATGCCGTGTCTTTCGATCAAGCGAGGCTCCAGCGCCGACGTTCCGCCTGAGTCAAGCACGACATCTTCCTTCCACACTGTTCAATATACCCTTAGTCACTTTTAAAGAGTGGCACTTTCTCCATTTTCCAGCACAGCACGCAACTCAGTTTACTCGATACACCATCGGCACACCGACTCTTTCTTCTTTCTTTGGGTTTGACTTTTGTTGTAACAAAACGGGCATTACATCGGAGCACTGCATTATAAAAAAAAGTTTGGGTCAACTACGGGGAGTACTTGGCTTGGCAGGAAACCTGCCTCAATCATCTCAGGGCGCAACAATGGGAAACAACGGGATTGTACCACGACATTAGGGGCTTGTGACCAAGGGTTGATCACAAGCATGGCACCGAGGGGTTGAGGAGACACCCTCTGGCTTCATTACATTTCGCCAGGAATTTGACGAGGCAGGGAGGCTTTCATGCGAGCGAAAGGGCTCCCATTACGACGAAGGAGGTTGGGTCAAGACTCTGGCATTGGACGGAGTCTCGAGGGACAAGGCCTCATATGGAGGTTGTACTGGCAAAGGCAACGGGCATTACCAAAGTGACGGATCAACTAGGGAGTGGAGGTACGAACTTCAGAGGAATGGACTAGTGCAGGACCCCGTCAGATTGAGATGGATCAGAATAAAAAAAAAACATCAATACTAGTTCAAAGCTTGACAAGAAATTCCACTTCTGCTTACATTGGTGACTGATGACTTGTGATCAACGATGACTCTGTACAAGGCACCACCGTCCGCATCCACTTCTGGAGCATCCGTGGCAGAGCTGTGGGTCTGCGGGAAAAGTCGTCATAGTGCCGGAAAGTTCAGAATTCCCCATTACACTTTGGGAGCCCCTGGCCAAGGTGCTATGGAGTTTGGTCCGAAGGGAGGAAAATTTGGTGAAAATTTGGCCAGGATCCCACGCCAAGATTATTTTTGCTCGCTCGGAAGTTGCCAAACATTCAATAGGCTGGGAGGCGACAGTGGACGGGGGTCGGACATGGCGCACAATTCGGGAACAACTCACAATTAATGGAGACCAGTGGCTTTTCTTCCCCTTGTCTTTTTTTCTTTCTTTTTCTTATTGCAGACTTTTGACAACGGCTCAATTGCCCACGTTGACAACCTGCAGCCCAAGCCCCCAGGGATAGGTAGACAGGAAAAGGATAGAATGGAGACTCAGATACACGTGTTGTCAATCTTTGTGGTCTTGACGAGACGAAAAGCGAACCAGCAAGAAGTGAGAGATGATGGAATTGACAAATGCATGGTGCGATTGGAAGGGGCAGTGTCCATCCATCACTGTCGGGCACGCAATGCACTTTCCATGCACTTTCCCATTCCGTACTTTTTCGATGTGAATTTCCAGAGCCTTACGGATCCCCTACTATCTAGCTGTCCTTCTTCCTCTCTTATTCATCCGCCACCTTGTCCGTTGCCTCCTTTCCATATTACCTACCCCCTTCCCGCCTTGCAAAGAACCTTGGGTGGTAACATACCTTTGTACAGGGAGCGAGGGGATGGCAAGGTACCGGACCCTAGGTACCTTAGCTGAGGTGAGGTAAGGTAGGCTAGGTACCAAGCATTAGCCGTCCTTAGGTAGTAATTAAGAAACTGCGTTCGAGGGCATGAAACCTGTGCCTTGGTAGGTACCAACGTACCTTAGCCTCTTGCTTCAACGACAAGTCGTTACTCGCACCTGCGCAAGCACGCAAAACATAGTAATGCATGGTGTTGTCCCACTGGTGGAGGTCATCTGGATGACGCACAGTTCGCAATCTCGCACCAAGATTGAGCAAGCGAAAAAGATGAGATGCTTTCAGCAATCCGTCTGCCTGTCATCCACCAGCCGCCACGACTTCTCGCTCTCCGACCGGAGTGGTCCATGTCTCCGAGCACCGCAGCCGCAGCACAGGCACCACCTCAACTATGCCCGATGTCAATCCCAAAAAGGGCGAATATGCACGCCGCCCCCCCCTCTGGACCATTCCCCGCCAAACACGCACACGCCTCCGCCTGCTCAACCACACGCCATCCATCGTCAATTCAATTTTTTTTTTTTAACTGTTCTTTGCGGCAGCAGGGGATCCGTAAACTACGATGCCGCCTACATGACCGTCATGACGTGAGCCGCGCGAGAAAACATGCCATTCTCCCGCCCCCTCGTCTTCTGACGTAGCTCGAGCCCAATGGAGGCGGCTTTCGAAGCCGAACCCTATTTTCCACTCAGATCCATGATCCACAAGAGGGGGGAGACGCATTTGACAGGAGGACCCCCGCCAAGTTGTGAGAGCCTCTTTTCATGTGCGATGGAATCTCGGTTGCAGCCGCAATCTGACCATTTCAAGCAACGACTAATTACCACCCACCCCTCCGCGCGTGGTACGGTGCAGGGCGGTTCGGATATGGACAGGAATGTCAACAATGGCAACGAGCTAGCCGAAGGGGCGGCGAGGAGAGGCGAAAAAAGGGCACTTCAGCACTGGGGGGGTAGCCTTTCAAATCAGCTGTTTGCTAACACGGCCCAGACGGACGATGTGCACATCATCAAAGACTGCTCCTCATCTCGGAGCTGGCTCACAACCATGGCGACTCTTCACGCCCCGATGCCCGGAGCCTCAAGGAAATTTCTTCGAGGACCGAGGAGCCGCCTGGTTCGAGCACTGGCTGGACCTGGACCTGGGCCTGGGCCTGGACCTGGACCGAATCCGTGGGGTGTCGAGGGCGGCCCGAACGCTAACCTGGACATTCATTCACTCCTCAATCCGTACAGGTGTGCACTTCACGCGACATCTACAAGCAGCCGTCGAAGCAGCCGCTATTGGCAAGCTCGGTTGGGATACTCAGGATGAGAACAGCCTGGTCCAAATTGCGGCCAGCTTTGATATCCTCGAGCAGGGGGTGTGGCGGCCCAGTAGAAGCGTTGGTGGTGCTATGGAACGCTCCAGCACCACAGGCGCCATGCTGAGGATAGGTGGGAAACAGGGCGGCTTGCTCAGGCGTCTCGCCTGATGTAGGTGGCCAAAACAGGGTCCCAAACCAACATGGGAATTTCCAGCAGATGAGGCGTCCGCATCTCAGCGCTCGCCTGAAGGCGTGCTTCATTCACCCAGCAAAGCCCGCATCTTGTTGCAGATTGCAGATCACCATTGTCCAAGTCCATTCTGCACAACAGCTTCAGCTCCGTGGTATTATTCAGGCAGCCAGACTCATCACTGGCCGGCGCCCGCCAGCCGTTTTTGTCTCTTTGCAGGCTCTGTGTGACAAAGAACCTCTGACAGCGCCGAGCCTCTGGCGGTCGCCTCAGTTCGCCCTCAGTTCGCCTCTATCTGTTCACATTTGCCTTGACGAATTGGAATTGCAAAACAATCCGACAGGAAGATAATGCCTCACAACCATGTCGGCCAACAAGCAGGCATGAGGGCCGCAGGCATGCTTTTGCCTTTCATCTGCAGCTTACGCCTCTCCCTCTGCCTCTGAAGCAGCAACACTTTGCACAACAGCCAACTGGACGATGACTTCCAATTGCGGACACGGTGCATTGTGACGGTGTTGGCAGCGTTTGATACGACTTGTCTATTATGCCTCCATCTTTGTGAGTTTGTTGGGGGAGTGGCTACAGAGATTCATTCCTTCAACTACTACTCGTCAAACCAGCCATTCTGCGTTTTGACACACCTTTCCCTGGCTGTCGCTTCATTTCAGGGTTGGTGCAGAGATGGAAAAATTTTTACAGCATGGATCAGTCTCTGAATCTTCTTTTCTCTCCGTCTCCCTTCGGAAAGCGCAACGTTGGGATCGATCGATCCATGGTGCCTGGTCTCCGTGCGCCCGGCCACGGTCTGGGTACGTTCTTGCTGGTTGTGTCCGCTCTGGCCTTTAGTTGCTTTACCCTCCGTTCTGTTTTACATTGAAGGGTGAGTTATTCTAGAGACACGTACCAAGAGACAATAACAACAAACAAAACAGAACAAAGTTTTGCTTCGTTATACGCCCAGCGGTCTTGGTCTACACCTCCCGTCGCAACTGGTTTATGTTTATCCTTATCCGAGACGGGTTTCGTCGGCTCGCTTCCGTTGTGCCCCAATGCCTGCTGCATACCTCGTTCCTCAGAGCGCCTAACAGCATTCGAAAACAGCCCGGAAGTCTCCAGTCGAACCACAAAGGCACTTCAAACCGGGTGTTCTGCCGTTGCATCGCCTGGAATTCTGAGCCTCCGCAGCGCTGTCTCTTTTACACCTCGGATGCATTGGATCCTTTTCTGCTCAGCGAACATTGGGTGTAAATGCATTGCATAGGAATGCGTGCCACGGCGATCGGCCCTCTCCAGCTTATCTCCATTGAACAACTTCGTTTCACCCGCTGTAGTATGAGCACTAGACATATTTTGCCGTCCAACCACACAAACGGGTGCTGCAGTAACAGCACACTCTTGCAACGAGGCAGGGGCCGTCTCACCCGCATATCTCACGAGTGTACGGAGGACTATGTACGGACAACTTAGGTAATAGGATTGAATGGAAACATGGAGACTGTTGTCTAGGACCGGGCGAAAGAGGCTGCTCTCATCAGTGCGTTCCGAACTCGGGTGGGACTCTCTCATATGCTCGTCGGCCACGCCCCATCGTCGAGAGCTCTGGGTTGGCTCACGTAATACGATTTCCCCCTTGAACCACGGCAAGCCGACAATGACGTCAAGCTTCCATGTCCTCTTACCTTACGGACACCGGTTTCATCTTCCAGTCTGGACTGATCTGAAGAGCACGGCATTCCAGGTCCCTGGGAAGAAGACTACGCAGGCCCGTGACACACGGCAAGGTCAGACGCTTGGTGGCCAAGCATTATCAGCGGAAACGCTGACAGGAAGAGCAGCAGCAGCGAACAGATCAGTTGTCCCAGGTGTGTCGTTGTTCTGCTGTCTAGGCCACGGCTGCTAAGGAGGAATCTGAGACAAACTTGTGCCGTGCCTCGTCCCGTGTCCGGCATCGTTGCAAGGAACCTCTCTGAGAAATACCCGCACCTTAGGTGAACGCAGGGCACATTTGGCGGGAACCCGTCCCAAGGCAATGGCGTTGAAAGTTTCTGGGACGGAGGACGGGACAAGGGGTTGAGCCGAACCCAAAGCTTCCCGGGCAGCCACGGCAAACGAGGTTCAAACAACGAGACCCTCTATATTCGTGTCCAAAGTTCCAACCAATGCTCCAAGCAGCCTTTGACGAAGCTTGAATGCCGTGCTGTGTGGGAAAAGGTACGGGAGAAAAAGGCCGAATACTGGAGATGCGTCAGCAATTTGCCAGTCAAAAATAGACACGTTCACAAGTCGTCGAATCTCGGGCGGCTCTCGTTTCACCCACCTCGGTTGACTTTGTTGACTTTGACCCAACATCAGGCCGAATCATATGCTTGCTAGAACGGTCCAGACGTTTTGCAATTATCCGGGGTGAGTCGCAGCCAAAATCTTGTTTGGTTCCTGAACAACCCAGGCCACCGCACTAATTAATTGCACTTTTCAGGCCTCGTTGCCAATCGGGGCGATGCCTCGCCGCATTGTAATTGCCTCATGCCGTTGCCGCTCACTGTCAGCAATTGCAAATGGGCAGACAGATTTGCACACTGACACGGGCCGCCCCAAGGCTTTTTGTTGGGACAGCGAGAAGTGTTGTTTCCCATTTCCAACATTGACCCCCTCGCGTCGTCTGGCCTGGCTCCGTTTCATCCGTAATCGGCTCCTCTTGTGTCTCTTCACCTTGGCCGTCGTCGGAGGGAGTGTCGTCCCGGCCTGGTCAGACAATGGTTCGATCTCGGAGCGATGAATGCTGGGCTTTCCCGCTTCCGATGGAACGGTCACATCTTCCCCCGACTGGGTCTTCCCCGACTGGGCTTGTTCACAATCTCACTTGTGAAAGAAAGACAGATCGTATCCGCCCGCCGTCGTTCCGCGGCCCGCTTGCTGGGAAGCAGCAGGGAGCGGGGGAAATTCCCCGCCTCGTTTGGCTTCAGATCACCGATTCAGCTTGTCATTGACCCCGTACTTCAAATGATCTGATGATTTTGTCTTCCTCGTCTACGGTATTAGGAGCTGGAGCCGGAGCCAGCCTACGTCCAGTGAATGGGCTGCTATGCGGGAACCAGACGCACCGGAAGGGATGAGAAAGGTTTTTTTCTTCTTTTCACCCAATTTTTTTTCTGCCCCTTTCTTTTTCCTCGTCTTTGATGCCCGTCATCCATGCTGGCGACGTGTCATATTGGCATATGCATATTTTCCGTCCCTCCCCACGTCGTTGAAGCCTCAAGATTAGAAAACGGCCCCTCTCGGCCTGACGGGACGTGGGAACTTGTGCTTCACCGGTAAGGATGTGGATCTCTCTTGTGAAAATTCTCGAAGCGAAGGCTTCGGCAGGTTGCAGCTGGAGCGAGACAGTTCCTCCAGTGGGCTTGCGTACCACTAATCCCATTGCGGGCTCACGGACCCCCGAGAGAAGTGGATGAGACTGAGACTGAGACTATACAGTCAAGCCTGCGTGGAGGAGTTGTTCGCTGATGGCCTGATTCCCGTCGTATCGGTGCGTGTTGGGCAGAGAGCCACACAAGCGTTGCGGGCCGGTCGTGTGTAAATCAGGAAGCTTACCCCAGGACAAGAGGGATAGCTAGGAGCTAGCTAGCAACACGAGCGGCTTGGGAGGGTAATGTGTCACGACGGTTGGTGAGCCTTACGAGCCTGGCATTCCAGAGGGAGAGCCGGGGCTAGGGCACAGGGCTTGCCGTTGTTATTTTGTGCTTGTAGCTCGAAGCTCGAAACTCAGCAAATCCGGCTGGTAGATACATTGGTGAAGAGATTTTTTTTTTCCCCTCGCGTATTAGGTTTTGAAAGTGCAAGACAAGACACGAACCCGGCTGACGAGGCTAGTAGGCTGAAACATGGCCTTTTGGGCCATTTGATAATCGATGAGTTGAGAGAGTGTAAGTGTATCGATGGTAGTGCAAGTTCACCAATGCGCGCCCTGTCGTGAAATTTTTTTTTCCCTTGCAAATTCTTTTTTTATATTCGAACGGATACAATGCGCAGCATTACGAGTGAGAGAGATGTGTGGGTGTGTGTTTTGTGCCCAAGGCACTCATAGGTAGGTGCGTGCGTTATCGCACACGCCCAGAGCTCCTCGAATAGTGTTAGCCGGCACCGGGGTGCGGGATGTGCCGGTGGGAGACATTATAGGTTAGGTAGGTCGGTATCCGTACCTTTGTCCATTCCATCCATGCCCCTCCCTCTCTACCTAAGGTACCCTGCCTCAGCCTGAGAAGCTCAGGGAAAGAAGCTGGCGTGGGTGGAGCCACGGGGAAGATCTCCCGGGCATGGGTCGTTCTTTTCTTGGGGTCAACGTTTGCCCTACCTAGTGTACAGTGAGCCAGCCCCTAGGGCAGGAGGCCAGGCAGGGCAAGGCTGGGCAGTCGACTACAAACCTAGGTACGAAGTTAGGCATAATGTCCGTATCTAGGTGCTAGGTGGGAAGCCTCTCTCTGTTTGAGGGTACGGCATGGGAAGTGTTGAGAGAGAAAGAGGCTCGTGCAGGCTCCGGTCTGGGCTGATGAAATTTTCAAGGGTTCGAGGGGGGTTTCTGGTGCCAAATGATGAAGTGCCTACTTCTGGATCAAAGGGAAAACTCTGTCACGTTGTACGACGCCGGCGTGGGTAGGGATGGGGGGCGCGCGTCGTCGACGCAATAATGATCTTGGATGTCGGAAATGGCGAACCAAGGGGGGGGATCATGCCATCTCACGCCAGGCGAAGTTACAGAGTACCGTTGAGTAAACTATTCCCTCATGCCTCAGACGTCTGTTCACAAGGCGCGACGAAGAGACAGAGAGAGAGTGTGTGTGGGGGGGATCAGGAGGAAAGGAGGACGGAAAAAACTTTTCTCGTCAATTATGTACACAATGTATCCGTACCATGTACAGATACGACACGACGTTTCAATTCATGTTCACGGCAATGTGCGCAGTGTACGCAGTAGTGG